CTTCCTGATATTGCTATCGCTGGGTATTGCTACATCTGCTGTGGTTCAGTGGGTAGAGCAGTTGTCTCCCAACCAATCACAGCGCCTCCAGTCCACATGTCGAAGTGTCCTTGGGCCAGACACTGAACCCCCAAGTTGCCCCCGATGGTTAGAGCCATCGGTCTGAGTTGGCGCCGCAGATGGCTGCCTTGGTTCTGTACCAGAAACAACTTCCTTGTGTGTAACATACTTGGCCAAATAAAGGTGATTATCCTTATTATATATATAAAAGTCTTTGCTCATATCACCTGCTCCTGGTGACATCTTGTTTCTCTGTGATAACTGTATTTAGACTTATCTGTTGTAGAAACCTGCGGCGGTTCAGTGGCTGATGAAAACTAGTATGTTTGCTGTGTGGCTGGTTATGGGTCTGTGGTAGCTATAGTATGTCTGGCATTGCTGGTTAAGCTGTGAAAATTGTGTGTGCCAGATGTTATGCACTCTGCAGTCCTAATCCCTGCTATATTGTTACTGCTTCACTGAGATCATATTAAAGATCTGGTTTTTGTGTGTGTGATTGATTTAGTGCAACTGTTACTCAAACATTTCCAGGAATAGCATGACATTCAATCTATTTTACAGTGTTTTTATTCAGAAACTCTCATATTTCTGACCTTCTCCACATGCAATGTTTGCATTGTCTGCATAAAATAATAATCATAAATGTAAAATGTCTCAATCCAGATCAAAGAGACGATCATCTATCCATGGATTTAACTTTATTTTAATGTGCCATTCATTTTCCATGTACTTTATAATTTAACTAACCCGTCTCTTTCTTGTTCTGTATCTCTTTCCTTCTACTCTGTAGGTGATTTTCAGTGTCCCAACGAACTAGTGCGTTAGGGCGCGTCCCACTCAGCATCACAGGAAACCCCGTCCACATGCATGACACCATGGGTAGTTCCCCCGAGGTGCTCTCGTGGACTTCCTGCCCCAGCCTGCTGGTGGGCAAACTGAAGGAGGAGCTCAAACTCACTGTGGTTGGAGATGTCATGAAGAAATCCAACTCCCCGAATTCCCAACCTCAGCCTCCTCAGGCCCCTTCGTCGAACTTACCTCCTCAGATTATCACTGACCTGGCCCCACCGACACACCTGCCCGTTCCCCTGCAGACACTGCAGCTGCCTGGCCAGGACGAGGACTCAGTGCTGGGGTGCCTAAGTCCCCCAAACATGGCCTTGAGTGTGGACTCAACGCGAAGTGAGGGTGGACACTTTGACAACAGTGTGCTCCAGTTGCAGGAGCAGTACCACGAGGAAGCCGGATCGCCACTGTCCTGTGAGCATGGTGGGTGTGGCAGTGGGATGGAGGAACAGATGGGAGAAGGGGACTGTCCCATGGACCACAGTGGAGAGGGACCACAGAGCCACCCCCATCACCCTGATGACATCAAACTACACTTCCAGAGAGCAGGGCCTGCGTCGGGGAGCTTCTTAGAGGGGTTGTTTGGCTGTCTTCGCCCAGTCTGGAACATTATAGGGAAGACATACTCAACAGAATACAAGCTACAACAGCAAGGTTAGCCCCTGGGTATTGTTTTTCTGCATGCCATCAATTTAAGAAATTAAATGCTGTGTTTAATTCAGATGTCCATATGTTTTTAACACTTCTGAGAAATAAACTTTAGATTCCCTCTTGTTTCTCCTAATGAAGTCTAAACCTGTAATTCAATAGCCACTTGCTTCACCATCTTGCTCTTGTGGTGTAGCTGTATAGCTGTTGGTTTCAGTTGAGGCTATGGTAAAGGTAGACTCACCTTGCTGCAGGACTGCCTGAAGAGACTGGACTCACAGGCTACTGGATATGAGTTGAGGTCAGACAGAACTGGGTTGGGTCGGGGTGGCTGGTCAGCTAATGTTCACTTGTAGTAGGTTAGAGATGTTACCACCAAGCATTGGCATGGTAAACATACTGTATCTTCATGTGGTACATAAAGGTCAACTCAAAACTATAAAAAAATATCAGACAAAATAGCCAAAAATATTCCAAGACTCCAAAGGGTTAAAGGATGAACAGCATATGACTCACTGTTTGACTATCCAAGACACTGAGAGCATGTTGCACAAGGCTTTAGGTTTATTTTGGTCAGTATGGATAAGCAACACAGTAACTACTGCTTACTGTGTTTGTGGTAATGTGCCACAGGTCTGTACTTCTGAGATGTACTGCACCTCTCAGTGTTGTTCCAATTGGAAAGGTGATAGGAGACACAAGTACAATGCATGTATGCTGAAAATGTTAACATATTATGATTTATGTTTTTCCCCTTTAAGATAGAAGTTCACTCATTAAAGAAATAACTTGATGTTGTCACATTTTCCAGGAAGTAACTTCATCAAACCAAGAATTAATCCAGTAAACATTTCAGTTTGTACAGGTTAAACAAACAACATATAACATGGTAGAGGTGCTGGTAGATGAAGCTGTAGCTTCATATTTACCATACAGATGTTAATAAGCATGTGAATATGCTACGCTGAAAGAGGAAATGTAACAACACAGAGTAAAGACTGACAAGGACAAATGCTAAAGAAAAAATTTAGATCATCTACACCTCAGAATGTAACACTATGTAGTTGTCATAACTGTAACTGACTTGTTTCCAGATATGTGGGAGGTTCCGTTCGAGGAGATTTCTGAGCTGCAGTGGCTGGGCAGTGGCGCACAGGGAGCCGTCTTCTTGGGAAAGTTCCGCTCTGAGGAGGTGGCCATCAAGAAGGTGCGTGAGCAGAAAGAGACGGACATTAAGCACCTACGAAAACTCAAGCATCCCAACATCATCAGCTTCAAGTAAGTCTGCAACCACTAGTTTTTTTTTACCTGGTTTAGTCCTGTTATTTTCAGCTGGTGGAGCTCTGAGTCCTGTTGTAGTGTGCATAGTTGACAGACATCGGGTTTGCTTGTTTGTCTATAAATGCGTTTCCTGCATTTGGTCAAAATTAGGGCCGTGTGCACTCAGGCGCCGTGCTACTGCATCATCATGGAGTACTGTGCCCAGGGCCAGCTGTATGAGGTGCTGAGGGCAGGGAGGAAGGTGACCCCCAGGCTGCTGGTGGACTGGGCCTCAGGCATCGCCAGCGGCATGAACTACCTACACCTGCACAAGATCATCCACAGAGATCTCAAGTCTCCCAAGTGAGTTTCCTGTTACAGGCGAGATTATAATTTACTTTCTTTAATTCTTTTTAATTCTCACTCCTGTGTGCTCTGAAACTATGAAAGTGATTCGCTTTGAAAGGCCTTTGAAGCAGGAACATCATGTACAGCTGTGTTGAGTTACATTAGAAATATAATTAATGAGAAGTTTGTTTTCTCTTGCAAATACAGCATGTTTTCCTGATTTCTAACAGTTTTATACTTTGGCGCAGCAGCCATGGGCTGTGGTCATGTTCTTAAAGCTGATCTGTAATGTTCAAGAAAACACTCAGCAACATTGCTGAAGACTACTTAGCCAGCAACAGCAACAACAGTTCAGCTTTTCAGCTCTGAACAGTAGTTCAAATGCCATAGTCAGATTCAATAAAAGCTAGTCGCCTTAGTGTAAGACCCAGTGTCCTGTCTCATCCAGCTTATTCTGTTCTGTACTCTGCACACTGGAGCCCTCTTTCTCTAATCAATATCATCATGCTGCAGAAGTGCCAAACGCTGTATTAGTCAGCAGAATGAAAGCAGGCTGAATGTGCTGGAAAGGTCAGTCTATTTGACTAATGGGATGATTCAGATGCAGAAATGTGCTTCTGTGACACTAAGTCTTTTAGGCTTGAAGATTAATTTTAAATGCTGCAAAAAGAAACGGGTGCTCATTTAAAACCCAGAATGTCACAGGAAAAACTTTCCCTGGATTAATTTTGGTCTGAAACTGCCGGGCTTTGACATGGATATATGTAGGTATCTAATAACTACAGAACACTTGACATAGTTTGTTATAGGATAACTGAAAACTTACTGCTGATCTTTTTTTGGTCCTGACCTTGCTAACAAGTGTGTTTTCCTGTTTGTGTGTGTGTGTGTGTGTTCTAGTGTGTTGGTCACCCACAACGACACTGTGAAAATCTCCGACTTTGGAACGTCCAAAGAGCTCAGCGACAAAAGTACAAAGATGTCATTTGCGGGAACGGTGGCCTGGATGGCCCCAGAGGTGATAAGAAATGAGCCTGTGTCGGAGAAAGTAGACATATGGTAAGTTCTAAAGTACCACCAATTTAAAATCAGATATTATTTTATGAAATATAGTAAAGCATAAATTCAGGATATGTATCATCAGAGCTTGATATAAAATTTGAGACTGATATATGCTAAATTAAGTTTGAAAGAAGTTACAGTAGGCCATTATTCCACTATAATTTGTCATTGATGAAGCTATTATTTTTGAGATTCCCTTTCTGGTGTTGCTATAGTGAGGTCTGACTCTTTATTTGTCTGTTGCAGGTCATTTGGAGTTGTGTTATGGGAACTGCTGACCGGAGAGATTCCCTACAAAGATGTAGACTCTTCGGCCATCATTTGGGGTGTTGGCAGCAACAGTCTTCACCTTCCTGTCCCCTCCACCTGCCCAGATGGCTTCAAAATCCTCATGAAGCAAACATGGTGAGCATGGACCATATCTTCAGTTCAATAACATACTATTCGTCCATCATTTATTTGAGGGCATTAGAAAAATTGTATTGATGCACCAGACAGAATCACTAAAAAGCACACATTGTCATTTAATCACACCTCCTCTCACCTTCCAGGCAAGGCAAGCCCAGGAATAGGCCGTCGTTTCGTCAGATCCTCCTACACCTTGACATCGCCTCTGCTGACATCCTTGGAACTCCTCAAGAGACCTACTTCAAGTCTCAGGTCTGTACAACAACTGAAAAACACAAACAAATTCAGCTTGTAGCACTCGCTAAATACTACACACTTATGTTGTAAGGATACACAGTATGCACTCAAAAGAAGAGGACTACGCAAGTCCTAGATATTTATTTATTTGCTCAAGATAAAATAATTTTCTCAGCCATCGTTGTCAGCATTTTGACTGTGTCCATCCATGTTAACAGGCAGAATGGAGGGAGGAAGTGAAGAAACATTTTGAGAAGATCAAAAGTGAAGGCACCTGTATCCACAGGCTGGATGAGGAGCTGATCCGACGCAGGAGGGATGAACTCAGGTGTGTATGAAATGAGAGCTAGAAGGAGAGATGATGGCCTTCACGGGCAGACAAGGTGATAGTAAGGGTGCTACCTACTGATGGTGCTGGTTCTTCTTCTTTGTCGGTAAAAAGAAAACAAATGCTGTGGCACTGTCATTTTGCTAATCTGTATAGAGCAGGTGTGCCATTTCCTTAAAATGCATCTGAAAGATGTTGCAAATTGATGGAGAAATTATTGGAAATGAACATGGGTGTGCATCTCCTGAACTCTCTCAGGCATGCACTTGACATCCGGGAGCACTATGAGAAGAAACTGGAGAGGGCAAACAATCTCTACATGGAGCTCAGTGCCATCATGCTGCAGTTGGAGGTCCGGGAGAAGGAACTAATGAAGTATGTAAATAAACATATGTTAATTATATAACTCCCGAGTCTGTCATGTAACTCTAATTCTGCCATCGCTGTAGAAGAGAGCAGGCAGTGGAGAAGAAATATCCTGGGACCTACAAGCGGCACCTGGTCCGACCCATCGTCAGGGCCAACGCTGTGGAGAAGCTCATCAAGAAGAAAGGAAGCATTTCTCACAAACCTGGGATGCCCCCCCCCAAAAGGTCTGAGCCTCAGCTAATTGAACTGAACATTCAGTCACAGTTCTTAGTAATTAAACAATTTATTAAAACACATGTTGTGTGAATACAATTATGATGTTAATGTTGCTGAATGCATTTCTTACAGGCCAGACTTGCTTCGTTCTGATGGCATCCCCAGTGTTGACCCTCTCCCCTCCCCTTCACCACTGTCTGCCAGCCCAAAGGTCTCCACGCCTCCTAGCAAAGCCCGCTACCGAAGCAAGCCTCGACACCGCCGCGTCAACAGTAAGGGAAGCCACAGTGAGTTCCCTGGAGTGCTGAAGCCGGTTTCAGGGGCACCAGAAGACACCCAGTCCCTCCAAGAGCAGTCATTCCATCACCACCATCACCACCACCCACCAACTGAGGGGCCCTTGCTCCCTCTGAAGGGCCGTGAGGAGGCTGTTGTGAACTGTGCCAACAACCTACGGTACTTTGGTCCTGCCGCTGCCCTCCGTAGCCCTCAGACTGACCACCTGCAGCGCCACATTTCCGGCTCCAGCCCTGACATCATTTCCACTGCTGTGGATGCAGACACACGACAGCGGACTTCATCCACCAGCTCCAATCCTATGCCGGGGGCTGGGGCTGGTCCTTTGTGCCCGTGCTGCCAGGCACACCCCTTCCCTGGCTGCCTACACTGTCAGGAAACCTTACCTGTGTCCAGCCGCCCAGAGCTACCCCACTATTCACTGCTCAGCACCAAAGAAGGCACCCAGTCTTCTTCAGTGGTGCCCAGCAAAGATCTAGCCTCAGACAGAGAGGCCACAAAGAAGGGCGAGCAGCAGGAACAGGAGACATCCCAGCACGTACTCGCCCTGCCCACTACACTGCCACGCACTCTCAGACAACTCAGGAAGGTATGCACACCTGGAAGCTTGCACCAATGAATCTGTAAAGTGTGTTTCTCTTTTGGAAACTGTGAAAGATGATTCAATTCTTTTCTTACAGGGTGGTGATGAGTCATCTGAAGAGGAGGAGGGAGAGGTGGATAGTGAAGTGGAGTTTCCAAGGAGACAGAGGTAACTACAGTTGTTTATTTAGTTTTTAAACTTGACCTTCACTATGTAATCACTGTTACATCATGTGGAGACACAACAGAAAAAGACCATCATGACAAAAATAATCATCATGCTTTGACTAGTCCCACAAACACTGTGTCAGATTATGTACCAGGTCAGAGGCAAATGTTTAATGAAACGAGCATCCTCTGCTCCTTCACAGACCTCATCGCTGTATGAGCAGCTTTCAGTCCTACTCCACCTTCAGCTCAGAGAACCTGTCAGTGTCGGACGGAGAGGAGGGAAACACCAGCGACCACTCCCACAGCGAACCCCTGGAGAGGCTGAGCGCCAGTCAGGAGGATCACCTGGATGACCTGCTGTCGCACACACCAGACATACCCATCGATATCTCCACTCAGTCAGATGGCCTCTCTGACAAGGAGTGCGCTGTCCGCAGGGTCAAGACCCAGATCTCTCTGGGAAAACTGTGCTCTGATGAACACAGCTACGAGGTCAGCACTGTGGATATGAGAGGATTTGTTTTAAGGCCATCCCTGATACCTGACACTGTGCTAATGTATCCCTGTCTTTTCCCTCTTTTTCTCTCAGAATCCGTTACAGTTTGGAGACTCAGACTGCGATTCGTCAGAAGCAGAGTGCTCTGACACCACAATTAGAAACAACAAAGTCGGAGCTCCTTCATCATGGTGAAACCCACCCCAGAGTTCAGTTCTGTTTTTGCCTGGAAGCCATCATGTCCCACTCTGCCCTGTAGAAAACCACAGCAATAAGAGGATGACATTGTGAACAAAGCTCTCTCCCTATAGCAGAGCCCCATGCAGTCTGTCCCAGAACTTCCTCTCTACCTTTAACTTCATGAGACACATTCCCTCTCATCTCTAGCACAGCGCCCAGGCAACCCATGGCAGGGATTCCCTTTTGAATGATAATGTACAGTAGATAGTGAAACATTCATAATTTATTTTTGTCTGACTTTTGAAGGAAAATTCAGGACCCCTGTAAAGCTGACATTTTGAAACGGATCATGGGATAACTGTGACTGAGACTGGACAAGGATGCACTTGATGATGATGAATATGTGTTGAAGGGCTGATCTGTCTGATGCTTGCAGCTGTGGGAAGTTATGTCACTATGATTGTTGGTCTCTCAGGTGACTGACACAGACTAGGAGTGTCACTACAGGCCTTTTGATCTGGCTGCAGTCTCTCTCAAGAAACCCCAAACCAACAAGCACTCTCCCTTACTACACTTTGACCAACCCGTTTTATCATGAGTTTACAATGCAGAGCACCGTTAACCCCCCCCCCTCCATCCTGTCCCCGTGGAAACAGTGTGAACACCAGCATGAGCGACCTGCCTCGCAACCAGACTTCCTCCCTCCAAACCAATGTACATATCTACATATCTAGTAACCCCCCACCCTAAACTAAGCATGCCTGTGCAGCTTGCAAAAGCTCTCAGAAGACTACATGAAGTGGACAGGCTAGCAGAGAAACAGAGAAGACGACTCAGCTGACAGCTAAGGAACTACAAATAAAAGAGACTCTTCTTCTTCCCCGACCGTGGTCATCGTCATCATCAATCAGATGTCATGACCCAAGTTATCGAAGGAGTAATCGTGTGTGTGTGTGTGTGTGTGTGTGTGCGTGTGTGTGTAATTGAATGCAAACCCTTTCTTCTCCATTAGACATTACAGTTTCAAGACTCATCTCAGGATTGTTTAAGGACTGTGTGAAACTGGACTGGACCATGTATAATTGTATGTAAGAATGTTCTTTGAGTGGTACATCTTATGGACCATGCAGGAATATTAAAAAAAAGGTCTTAAGGATAGCCTTGAAGTTCAACCCTTTACTGCTGTAACGGACACTAATGTCATGTAGATATGCAGAGTGTTTTAATTGCAACACAGGTGCAGTATCCCGTTTCTTTAAATGCACCTTTTCCCATGTACCATTTTCTAGCAGGCGAATTTATACTCTCTGATATGTAACATCCACAGAATGCTACTTGTTTTCTGTGCTGTAGTGAATAAAGCAGCAATAATATAGGTTGGCACTCAGTGAGAAAGAGGTTGCTTGCTCGGGATCTAGGGTGTCTAGCAGGCTAGACACAACACAGTGACTGGTGAGGAGGAGAGCAGCAAGTGTCAAACAGCTTAGTATAGTTGTGATATTTTTAAATTGTCCCATTATTGTGTACTCGCCTTTTTGGGACTTGATGCTCAGGTTTTATGTTTCTGATTGCGAACAGGAGCAATATATCAACAGCCACTAGATGGCGACAACATAATGATTTACTTTGCCTTGTGTTATGTAAATGTATTGGCCCCATTACTTTTTTAAAATTAAAAGTAAACTATCTGATGTTCCAGTAATATAACTTTTTTTTGTCAGGTTGTCTGTGAAATGGGATACTGCATCTGTGGACGCGTTAATGTTATTCCTGTTTTAGTATTTCTCATTCTTCCGTAGTGATAAACAGCCAGGGTTGAATTTAACGATGTCAAGATGTCAGCTCAAGTGTATGGAGAAGGCCACGGTTCTATGTAAGGAATACAAGCCAGAGACAAGGCCACAGAGCAATTAAGCTGCTCTTGGTTTTCATTAACCTCATCTCAGTGTTACTTCCTCCTGTATATAAACATCTGTAAATGCAACGTGATCTGTTTTTGTCCTGTCTTTAGTGTGTCACGCAGCTCGAGCAGATCCTTGAGCTTGTGTCACTGATGACCAGACAACTTGTTGGAAATGGGCAGGACATTCTTCAGTCTGTATCACATCAGTATTGAACACTGCAGGAGGGTATGGGTCATACAAACCCGAGTAGCATAAGGTGAATCTAAAACTGTACTGATGGATGAATGACCTTTTGCTTGAAAGCTTTGGAAAGACTTGCATGTGGTAGTGAACACAGCTGTTGCCTTTCCTTGAGTCTCCTTTAAATGTCTTCACTCTGTTTACGTTCATGTGAAATAACCTAGTGTATTGTAATCGCTGGGTAATCCGATCAAGCTGTTCATAACATTGTCTTTCTGGCTATATCCTGTGAAGTATGATTGTTGTAAAGTTTTAATTTAATTTAGATTTTTTTTCTTTGTAGCTGGCCTACACGATTATTGAATTAATTTATTATGAATGACTGGCAAGGTGTAGTGTTCTTTTTAATTTCAGGCAGCTTTAGAAATATCATGACTTATGATTTCTCCTGAAAAGTATTATTTAAAGGAAGCACAATGAAAGGGTATGGGAAGAGTGCAGTATTTGTATGTAAGAACAAAAGCATTGTCATATCACTGACCTTGTAGGGGACCATTCATCATGTAGATCATCAGTGCAGATGACGTATCCACAAAATTTTGAAAAAAAACCGTGTTTTTTTTTTTTTTTTTTTTTTAAATCTTGACATAGATGATAAGGAATCACTTCTGTATCAACTAAAAGCCAGTCAGTTGACTGTCGCTGCAGGGTAAATGTGTGATGTTGATTTCTGTACTTCTGCAGTGATCACTTCCCCTATTTATTTCATCAAAATACCAGTTACTTACATCTGAATTTCTGTGAAACTGTCTCTAACTGTAGACATTATGTCGCCTCATCCCATGTATCAAACAGCTGTTTCTTTGTTAGTCCCGTTTCCAACTCTCTTTCCTATTGAATGGCATACGATCAACCAATCCTGTCAGTTTCCTCTATTATCCAGTGTACAGTGCAATGGATATCTGGGAGAATAAAATCAGCGCAAACAACTGCATGGAATAAATGCTGATGTACTGTACTCAAAACACTGCTCTCTTTCTTCTGTGGCAAAGAAAATTATAACAAATTTGTATCCGTTCCGCACATATCAATTAAGCAATATCAGAATTAGCTTTTAAAACTCAGTGCAGATTATCTGTAAATGTGTATAACCATAATACATCCAGATAGCAACACCAACAACAACTCAGCCCTGACTTCCTTAAATAAATGAATGTCCCGTTAGGTGTCGCCACAACGAAGCATCATACTGACGTTTCGCATGTTGATATTTGGCACGTGTTTTACGCAGGATGCCCTTCCTGACGCAACCCTGATTCGAACCCAGCACGCAGCGGCGAAAGCGCTGCGCCGTAACCACTAGGCTGTCCCCTACACCTGGTGGTTACCCCTCCGACCACCAGGGGGCGCCTGGTGGTCGGAGGTGTAAACATAGATAACAAATGACATAGGCTACATGTAATTGAAAATGACTCCTACATACAGTAATATATATATTACATATATATATTTATTTTACTTTGTATACTGTGGGGTAGAATGTGTAGTCCACAATACTTGCCTCTGAATGGCAGTTTAGTAGAATTACAGAAGTAGCACAAAAATAGAAACAGGCTACTGCAATAGGCCTACAGTTTAAGTACTTCGAAGCTGTACTTAAGGACAGTATTAAATGCACTTACTCTCCAGCACTGAAGTATTTAGTAGATGTTGTGATGCTCTGTCATAGTGAGAGTGTTGGTGCAATCATACCTGTAGTGAAAGTGTTCGTGCGGTACGTGCTGATCTTCAGAGCTCAGCGAGAAGGCGGGGTTTCCATTATAAGTCGAACAAGCTCGTCGGAAGGTGCGGGGCTGTAAAGTAAACGTACACCGTGCTCCTGGAGCTTCCCTTGACAGGGCGGAGTCACCGTGGAGAGATTTGCGGAGGTTTGTTGGCAACAAGGAAGCGACGTTTGGATTAAGCTCAGACTCACGACGCAAAACCCTTTGGTTTGCTCGTTAACAGACGTTCCTTAATTTCCGCATAGTTTCGTTGTTTTAAACTGAGTGGGTCAAAATGTCCTCGTCGATGGACTTGGAGAAACTGAAGATGACGGGAGCTGGTCGGGCCTTAGCGGTGCTGACCAGCGGTGGAGATGCACAAGGTAAAAACTTAATCAAAGTAGCATTATAATGCAGTTAGTAGCATTTAGGTGCGTGCATAAATACGACACTGTGCTTCTGCACCACATGTTTACATAAGAAGGTAAAATGTAAAATTGAGTGGACGCTTCGTGAGAGTCTGGTCCAAATGACAGTTGGGCGGTGTCAGCTGTTTAACCTTCAGATGACTGCACACTCTAACAGATTAGACCATGGGTCAAAGGTCATATATGGGCTGCAGACTGCACACTGTCAGATCAGATCATGGGTCAAAGGTCATATATGGGTCATCTATTGTATACTACTGAACAACGGTGGAAAGTAACATTACTTACCAGAGAACTGTGATTGGGTACAAGTGATGGTACTACCTGTACTTTACTTATTTTCATTTTACTCCACTACATTTGTTACAGTTGCTTTGCAGATTCATTTAGTGATAATCTAATCATAGACAACAATAGACTATACTGCACCTTGTTTTGAAATGAGCCATATGCGTAAATAAGTGCTTTTAGTTTTTGCACGTAATATATATTTTGATGCTAAATACTCTTCACATTTTGAATACTTGTAGCTGAATATTTCTAGACTGTGCTATTTTTACTTAAGTGAAAGCTCTGAGTACTTCTGTTTCACACCTGATAGCTCCGACAATGTGTCAGGGTGTGTGGTTCTGGTGACTGATAACAAGTCATGGACACCACCGTGTTTAATATTCCCTTCTTGGTGCAGGGATGAACGCTGCTGTCCGAGCTGTGGCCCGAATGGGTATTTATGTGGGGGCCAAGGTCTACCTCATTTATGAGGTAAACAAGCTGTTTCATCCTATTGGTATTAATGTGACCCTAATGAACATACTGCACAATCAGCCCATGTTGTTCTTGTCATAAGAGCTGGACTAGCATTTGACATATACTGTGATTTGGAAATGACAGGGATACCAGGGCCTGGTCGACGGGGGAGACTGCATCAAATTGGCAAACTGGCAGAGTGTGTCCAACATCATCCAGCTGGTAGGTTAAAATATGATCTTCAGTTCCTATGGACAACAGTGGTAAAGGTAGCAGTAGTATCACAGTTTTAACTTGTAGCAGGAAAGGCACAGGTGTTGCTAATAACATTAGTGATGTCTCTGTGCTGTTTAGATGTCACAGTCAGACGTGACCGCAACATGGATCAATTTGATTATTTACACCTGTGCTTCTTCTACTGTCACATGTCAAAATCTCTTCTGTGCTGTAATTGTATTAGAGTTTAGACTTTTTGTTGTTTCTTTCTGATCTTAAATCTCTCCTTTATTTCTTTTTTTAATGGTTTTAAAAGGAATTGTATTGTTTCATCTATTTCCTCTCATCTGTTCTCTCCCTGCCTGTCTAATGTGGGTAATAACCTGGTAAGGGGCCGTGCTGAATGTGCTACAGTATAAACCTTATCTGAAGAGGCAGCAAGTTGCATTATTCATAAAGAAAAATATAAGCAGTCAAGCTGTCTTTTTTGTTTTGAGTAAATATGTTGAATGGCATGTGTTATTCTTTCTAAAGCAAATCTCTTTGTTTTTTATTGTAGATAAGCCAGATTTGTATAGTGTTGGTTCCCAACCATTTTTGCTCATAATACAACAAATGTGTGAGCCCATGTCTTGAGGATTATGATATTGAGAAGATCAGGCCAAAATAAACCTAATTTTACAACTAAGACTAATTTTGTGTGGCAGAGTGTTGTCGCCCACAGTAATGATCTCACAACCCCTTAGGTTCATTTTGTGATCTCCTGGGAGCCATCGCTGTATAGATCTAGTTGTGGTGGATTGCAGTTTGCTTTATACATCAGAGAGCGTCACCAATGTATATGGGCGGAGCCAGGGGGTGGCCAAGGGTGGCACCCCAAAATCTGATTGGCCACGCCTGGTGCCACCCCTGCCAGAGTCAAACTGTGATGCTTGTCAGTATTAATGAATGGAAAAAATGACAAATTGTTGCCTTAAATATAACTAACATTTTTCTGGTGCTTTATAATTGGTATTATTAAAATTACTTTAATTTTTTTATCATGCATACAGCATGATGTTTGCATTCATCTTCCCGACTGGTTTGCTGTGGAGTACCTGGCATGATTTTCAGTAGAAAGGGGGGGACCTATGTGCAGCAGCAAAGTTAGCTAAAGAGAGCATTATGTGTTTCATGTTTGGACAAAATAAACTGATTTTTAATAATGTGTGACTTATTATTAGAACTAGTGGCTTAATTAACTTTTTACATGTGTTTCACATGTGCCACCCCTCTCTGAGACTGTGCCCCAGCCTGGCCAGCCCATACAAAACTTTCTAGATCCACCCCTGCGAATGAGTGATCACTTGTGATTGGGTTTTATTTCCCAATCCCTGGTCTCATTTGATCTAGTCTTACATAAGATATCTGATGTGTCTTAAGCCAGAGAAAAAAGGAAGCCCTGTCAGATTACACTGTCCTTTATGCCTTAGCTGAATTGATTTGTGACTTGTTATATATTGTCCCTGTTGCAGGGTGGGACTGTGATAGGTAGTGCCCGATGCAAGGCCTTCATGACCCGTGAGGGCAGGCTTGCCGCTGCCTTCAACTTGATGAAGAAAGGCATCACCAACCTGTGTGTGTGTGGTGGGGACGGCAGCCTCACCGGAGCCAACATCTTCCGCAACGAGTGGAGCAGTCTGCTGGCAGAGCTTGTCCAGAAAGGTAAAGTAAACGAACTGTCAACTTGTCACTGAGCTTTGAAATCATTTACTATCATTTTGTACTCAAAGTGCATATTGAAAACAATAAGGTAAATAAAAATTAATTTTATGGTGAAATAGTCCTTTAAAGCATGATTTCCCATGAACACTGATACTGTACTGTATATAGACGGTCCATTTCAGTATCGTGTGTGTGTGTGTGTGTGTGTGTGTGTGTGTACACATGTGCTATTTCAGGAAGGATCCTAGACACTCAGGCCAATAAGCACGGTCACCTGAATATCGTGGGGCTTGTGGGCTCCATAGACAATGACTTCTGTGGCACCGACATGACCATTGGAGCCGACTCTGCGCTGCACCGCATCATGGAGATAATTGATGCTATCACAACCACTGCGCAAAGGTCAGACACTGTGACGCTGAACACTGACAGCATAGAAGCAGCTGGTTTTTCATCAGAGTTGTTATCTTTAGGTCATTGATGAAAGTAAAGCTTTGGCATTTGGACCGTTGTTCAGCCAAATTTTGTAATTTGAAGCTGTCACCTAATTAATGATAGTAATTTAATGATTACGTATCAGTCGTTAGTTGCAGACTTATATTCTAATTTAATAGAATGCAGTCACTCCAGCCAGGTTTTGCTGTATTCCAACTCTCATCAAGCCTGTGTGAGATTATTTCTATGAGCTTGCTGCCTCAAACTGTCAGCTCTCTGTTTGTATGCTCTTGTCCTTGTAGCAAAAGTTTATTGTCTCAATAAAGATGTTATGTGCCTCCTACAGCCACCAGCGCACTTTTGTTTTGGAAGTCATGGGGCGCCACTGTGGGTGAGTAACACTTTGACCCATTTTTCTATTGTGCACTGTACACACTCACTGGCCACTTTATTAGGTACACCTGTACAGTTGTATGCACTTCAGTGCAACACTTCTGCCTTAACATCTGTGTTTATGAAGATGACATTATTATGACATGTTTCAGGTTTTGATTAAATTGTCATAACTGTATAAATTCAATTATATGTTTATTATTGAGGTCATAGTTAAAAGTGGTGTTGTACTGGACTATGTTTTATTCAGAGGTGTTCCTAATATTCTGACCTTCTCATGCTACATTGAAGTGCATACAATTGTACAGGTATAGTTAATAAAGCGGCTGGTGAGTGTATGCTACCACTGAATAAAAATATTCTGTGCTATTATCCTAGATATCTGGCCTTGGTGTCAGCGCTGGCATCTGGGGCAGACTGGCTATTTATCCCAGAGGCTCCTCCGCTGGAGGGCTGGGAAGATCGTATGTGTGACCGTCTAGCGGGGGTAAGACACGAAAAGTAGTCCAGTATAGTAGAGTGTATTCTGTGTGTAGTATATACACTTTTATTTGAGGGAGTTGTAGTCTGTGCATTTCAAAATAAAGGAGTCTGATTTGCCTTTCTTACAAGCAGAATTGTGCTTACTAACATGGCTAATGTGTAAGTAACCGTTTACTTCCAGAGCCGCACAAAGGGATCCAGACTCAACATCATAATTGTTGCAGAAGGAGCCATTGACACAAATGGCAAGCTCATCTCCTCAACTTATATAAAAGATGTAAGTTTAAAGATTTATACGATGGGGATGAAAGATGACTCTGTACTGTTTGTAACATTTGCTCACCGACCAAGAGGTGGTTTGATGTCAAATTATAACTCCAGTGTTTAGCAGGCATAAAGTTGAACAGGCAGAAATGAGTTTGGTGCTCAAATGTTTGGAGTAAATGAAGGATACACACTCTACTCCATATCAACAGAAAATGCATTGACATTTGTGCCAGTGTTTTTTTTTTTTTAAGGAGACGAAGAAGATCTGATTTGTAAAATACTTCAGTAGAGTTTCCACTCAAACATTTGTCTTATCCTCTCTGCTGTTTATACATGCTTAGTGACAAATACATTATTATACACTGAAATGCTTCCATGTCTGCTTGAAGCTTGTGGTAAAACGGTTGGGTTACGACAGCAGAGTGACAGTGCTTGGACATGTTCAGCGAGGAGGAACTCCCTCAGCGTTTGACAGAATACTGGTGAGCTGGACAGCATATTTTATATTTTATTATTTATGACAGTTGAATGAAATGTTGACGTAATATAATGCTCTATTTCACCAATGGTTTCAATGTTTAATTGCATAAACTGCAAATCTGAACTGTGGGACATGCCTCACGTAGCCTTTGTAGGGTGTCAGATGTCTGATAAATGCTAACCATTTGAACTTCTGCTTTATACTGAAGCCAAACTGACCTAAAACAAGCTTTACTGCAAAAATTCACAACATTTTTATGCATTTTCCCTTTTGCTTATAATAAGTGGCCATTAGATTAGTGCTGCATTACATAATAAGATGTCCTGACGTTGAACACAACAGATGTTTATCAAATTAGACAGTGTTATAATGGCACTTTTTTTTTTATTTCAGAAATAGTTTTGGAAGGAATCTGAACTTGTAATGATAATTTCGAAAACCAAATAGCATGTCATAAATTCCAGTATATTGGGAAGACATACATCTATATGACTGTATTACAGTGATCGACCTATTTCAGTACTTTATACATGTCCTCAGTAAATGTTGACATTGTCAAATCTGCAATTTAGACAAACCACCATCCACATAACAAGTTACATTATTATAGTAATGGGTAGGAGATGATCATGTACATTTATCATTATTTAGGTATATGCATGTGTATGTGTGCGCTTGTGTTTTCAGAGCAGTAAGTTGGGTGTGGAGGCGGTGGTCGCCCTGTTGGAGGCGTCTCCCGACACCCCACCCTGTGTCATTGGCCTGTCGGGGAACCACTCTGTTCGTCTGCCTCTAATGGAGTGCGTGGAGCTGGTGGGTCTCTTTCCTCTCTTCTAGAATTGATTTGAACGGATATGCATGCAGACAGTGGGAGATTGCTGTATTGTTCAATTCTTTACTGTCGACTACAGACCAAGTTGGTGCAGAAAGCCATGAATGAGAAGCGGTTTGATGAATGTGTCGCACTGCGTGGAGGGTGAGAGCTGAGATTATTGAATAGTTATATCAGTCATATCTAATTATGATTATGAAAAATTTCCTTCATGTACAGTATGTCAATTAACTTTTTGTGCATCCCATGTAAATGTGTCATCCATGCGTACTGATTTGATCATACCTACAATTTCATTTAATTTTTTCCTGTGCAAATAAACAAAACAAAGATAAAACAAATGATTTTTTTGCAGGAGTTTCGAGAACAACTGGAACATCTACAAGCTGCTTGCCTTCCCGAAGCCGGCCCAATCTGAAGTAAGTCTGTCATTACACATGGACACACACCTGCATACACTTACAGTGTTCGATTTATTGGTATAGTCAGCGATTCTAGCAAAAGAATGTTTACGTTTTGATCACCATGTACACAGATCCACAAGTCATTTCAGTTAGGATCTCCTAATCACGTCACTCAATTCATGAACACACATTACCACGGCAACGATACTAGCGACTGGAGGAAGACCCCCATGACAAAGGAGACGTCAGAAAACTAGCGAGTGGGGCACAACATGTGGTCAACTAGCTACAAGCGCCACTGTTATTCTCCCACAACAATCTCCTGTAGCCATAGCTGAGGACAGAACGTCTGCAAACTAGAGGTTTAGCTGAATGTCCTGCGGAAAGTTGATTTAGCAAAGAGGCTAACGTGACACTGGTATTTGCTAACATAACGTTACCACACAGATTAGCCTACCTATTTGAACAACATCATAGTGACCATAACAATTTTCAGTGGCACATAGCAAACAATTTACCCACCTGTCCAGCAGGTGGGTAAATTGTTCAGCTGCTTCTGTCTTTCTCTGCCTGGGTTGTTTAGTTGTATAGTGGAAGCTGTGGAGCTGGTACTTTTTCAACCATCCCTCCCTTTCGGCTGCAGCAATGTTGTGAATTTTCTAAATTGAACCATACCCCCGCCCACACACACAAACACACATGCCGTGCACAAGCAAGATCACCACTTTGTGCTGATTGGCTGAAATTAGCTGGGCCGACTCCGATCCTTTTTTCAGCTTTTACAGAGCGAGCACAGCACACGCCCACCTGGGGTTCGTAGAGCACACAAACTGAAAACCAGAGAAATGTGAGGACAATTTAGCTGAATATGACAAAATGTGTAATGACTTAGAATCGCTGTCTATACCTTTAACACACAGAGAGGAGTCACAGAAGTTAAATAATGATGTCTGACTCCTGTCCACTCAGAGCAATTTCTCTTTGGCTATTCTGAATGTGGGAGCTCCAGCTGCAGGGATGAACGCAGCGGTGAGGTCAGCTGTGAGATTAGCACTCACTCATGGACACAAGGTCTACGCTGTCAATGATGGATTTGAAGGACTGGCCAATGGAGCAGTAAGTCCTTCCACCACTGCAGCAGGTTTTAGCACTGTATGAGACCAGGAGGACACTGTTCTGTACTGACATCTTGTCTGCTGGCAGGTTTTTGAGATTGAATGGCACTATGTGGCTGGATGGACGGGCCAAGGAGGCTCACTACTAGGGACAAAACGGTGAGTGACAGGAGTCAGGACCCTTTGATTTCAATGAAGTGAATGGAGTTAACTATTTTAACTTACCTGTTTAGTACTGTACTTCCATTAAGATGTGGGAATTACAGGAGAGAAAAAGGCAGTAACAGATACAGTAGAGGATGTGTGTGCAATATGATCACATATACCCACAACATCATTTTACCGTGTTGAAGATCCCCGTCATATCTTTGGGTGTACTGGCCATTACGCACAATGTGGCAAATCAGTGGGCACATGGAAGTTTTGGATTTTGATGATTTAGGTTAGGCAAAAACACATTTTCTGTCTAATTATAACATCAGTGAACGTTTTCTCAATTTTTAGAAAAATGCACTACATTACAATATACAGTATGTTTAATATACCTAATTACCTATTTTATCTTTATGGCCCAAACCTAGCAGAAGGTGAAATAGCCTGATGTTTATCCTACACTTCCCATTATACAACTCAGTGTTCAGTCTTTTAAATTCAGTTTTTATTGCAGATTTTCTGGTAAAAATATATTGTCTCAAAGGCAAAGCTGAGAGCCCTAGCCCCTGGTTTTGTTAGACTTGACACAGCGCCGTCCGGGGACGCTGGAAAATTTTTTGCAAGCTACGTAATACTCCTTGTGACGAACGAATTGCCTTTGACATGCAAAATTATTGGAGTGCCCCTTTTGATACTTTTTAATGTCTATCTCATGTCCTTCTTCAGAACTCTTCCAAAAACAATGATGGAGAAGATTGTGGAGACCATTGGCAAGTTTAAAATCTCAGCTTTGCTCATAATTGGAGGATTTGAGGTAATTAGTTGTATATCGACAGTGTAATTACTTCATAGTGTCCGTGTTGTTTCAGAGTGATTGTCACTGTACCCTTTGATGACTTTCAAAGGCATATGAAGGTGTGCTGCAGCTGGTTGAAGCCCGGGGTCATTATGAAGAGCTCTGCATCCCCATGTGTGTCATTCCTGCCACCATCAGCAACAACGTCCCTGGAACTGACTTCAGCATAGGAGCAGACACCGCTGTCAACGCTGCCATGGAGGTAATGCTGAGCAGATGGCACATTAACAGTATGGCTTTGATGTTTCAGGATTAAGATAAACATAGATGGAAGCAAGTCAGAAGACATCACATTTAACATGAGCCTCTATTATATATTACTGATTTGAATTCAAATACAAGTCAGAACAGCAGTGATCATGAGTATTTAGTTGTTTTAATCCCTAAACCTTCAGAGTTGGGCAGTTCTCTGGTTCACCCCTATAATTCCATACAAACCTGCTCTGTTCTGGTCTGTCTTTACTCTTTCTAGAAGCTGCACAGTGAGCTCCAAAGCTGGCACACAGTACAATGTAGGTCAGGGTTCACTTTTCCTCTGTCTTCAGTTGACACAGTCTCCGTTGCACTCTGCCATTTCGATTTCCTCATCAGGGTTGTGACAAGATCAAGCAGTCTGCCTCTGGGACTAAGAGAAGAGTGTTTGTGGTGGAGACTATGGGTGGATTCTGTGGCTATCTGGCAACCTCCACTGGTATCGCTGTGGGTGCTGACGCAGTCTACATCTATGAAGACCCCTTCAACATCCATGACCTGACTGTAAGACCAAAAAAAGCCTGTGCTGTTTCTTTTCTTTCATCTATAATGTTCACAGGCTTCTGTTTCTTTAACTGTCTGGCCCTTTGACAGACCAATGTGGAGCATTTAACTGAAAAGATGAAGAAGGACATCCAGCGGGGTCTAGTACTGAGGTACTGAGTACCAAATGACATTGATATCCTTAACAAAACAAACAAATCACACTGTGTATAACGAAATATTGTTGGATGTAGTTTTTCCTCTGTTGAACATTTTCTTTGTCATAACAGGAATGAAAGATGCCATGAGAACTACACTACAGATTTCATCCATAAGCTGTATTCAGCTGAAGGAAAGGGCGTCTTTGACTGCAGAGTCAATATACTGGGACACCTGCAGCAGGTGTGGAGCCACTGTGAAATTCGCAAACACAGCTTAGCAACATGAAACTGAAGCGACTGAGTCTTGTAACATATTTATACTGAGTTTGCTGTCATGCTCTAGGGAGGGGTGCCTTCTCCCTTTGACAGAAATTTTGCCACCAAGTTGGGTGTGAGGGCTGTCGAGTGGATTTCACAGCAAATAACTGAAAGCTTCCGACAAGGTAGACTTAATGTATAAAGTCATAGCTTACACAAATTAGTCAGAAACCCAAAGTTAAACCACTGTGCTGTAATGATTCCACCGTTTCCCCCATCAGGCCGTGTGTTCGCCAACTCAGCAGATACAGCATGTGTACTTGGCCTCAACAGGAAGGTCATCGCATTCACCCCCGTCACTAAACTGAAGGCTGAGACAGATTTTGAGTAAGAAAATTCACAGTTTTGTCAAATGAGTGTTCATTTTTAAGCAGTGTTACCATTTTATGAATTCTGCCTGTTTTTCAGGCACCGGATGCCCAAGGTCCAGTGGTGGTTTCATTTGCGGCCAATGCTAAAAATGCTGGCCAAGTACCAGACCAACTTCTGTGAGTATGTCCCAGGAGAGATTGCACATGTGACTCGACGCTCCATCAGCATCGACTGTGGGTTCTAGGCTCTCTGAAACTACAGTATACTTTCTCCATTTTTAACCCTTATCTGTCCATTCTTTCTTTCTATGCAGACTACACATTTTAGGAATGGCTTTTAATCTGATGCTATGTGTGTTTACAAGTCTGAACCAGTATATTATGTAAACATGTACTTCAAGTATTCATTTATTGACTGAGGTATTTAATGCAGATACTCCTTATGCCAAGAAAGCCGTTGTATAGGCTGCCATAAAAACACACCCAGGTGTTGTACTAAAGCATTATATAAAACAAATCAGACATAGTCTGATCCATTTTCATAGAAAAAGTGTGCAATGCATGTTTCTCGTTAACTTCTGGAGACCTTCTATTATGTGCCCAGTGGTTGAGATATGCTTCTGATGCACTTTATGTCAGTATGACTCAGGGGACCAGTGAGATGTTAGTTTCCTTTTACTTATACACTGGATGACTGAAATCCTGCTTCTTTTATTACTTACTGAACAAACTAAACAGCAAATCACAAAATATTAAGCAGTTTATTACACTGTATTAAAAACTATATACTTCACAGCTTCTGAAACTGGTGAAAAAAAATGAACTTGCATTGTGTTTTTGTTATTAATGCTATATCTGTCTTCAATAAACTCATTCAACTATTATATTATTAGAAATGTGTTCATTGTAGTGTGACTAGTTACAAATAACCATTTAATAGAACAATGAAAACTCTATTAGAAACATCACATCTGGCCAAGTTCACTTAGATTTTAATCTGCTGAAGTTTATAACTGGGTTAAACAGTGAACCTGTATGAATTTTTGTCGCCCAGCCAAAAACTGTTCAAAATAATAAGCAAGGAACTGGTATGGGAAGAAAACTGATTAAGATTTCAGATGTTTCTCTTATACCTCTTAAAAGTTTAACGAAAATGGAAAGTCGTTTTTCTTAGTTGTCTGGGGGCTCTCTGAGCTGAAGGCAAACTGGAAGTCTTCACTTTGCTCTGATTGGTCAAAGAGAAACCCAGGGCCTGCCAAATCACATACAGTACACACCTATAGTTCAAAGCAGCCAGATACCACACATAAGAAAAATAAAGACATATGATTTGATACTTACATCTTGAAGACTTTGATTCTGGGGTTTTCTGAAGAGAGATGAACAGAGTTTTTAGTTTTTTTTGTTCTAGTAATACTGTATGAAATACAGAGGGGTTACAGTAGAAAGCAGTACCTTTTCATTGAAAAATGAGCCAGTGAAAGTGAAAGATGAGTCCTGCAAAGAAACCTGAAGGTAATTCCAAAGCTAAGAAATATGGATTTCTGTCGAATCACTTATTCCTGTTCCTTGTTCCTCACCTCATCTTGTGATGAGGCCACATCAAATCCAAATCCAGAGAAACCTGGGGTGTTAGGATCAGAGTTCAGAGAGAACAGGAAAGCTGGAGATTTTTTATCTGAGGTCCCCTGATGTGGTGAGCTGGCAGGGCTAAAGCTGAAGCAAGCACATGAGCCTTATTTCTCAGTTGCTGTCATGACAGTGATACAATGTGCTGTACAACAAAGCCTTACTTAAAGGGAAATGTTGGGGTTGAAGGCACAGGTGTTGTTTTTGCTGGGGAGGACTTTTGGTTAGTTTCTTCAGTTGATGACTGAGAAAAAGCAGTGAGTCCCTCATTATCCTCTTTGCTTGGTACCTGATCTTCATTTATGGTTGCCCTTTCCTCCACCTCATCCTCCGTTGCCTCCTCTACCTCCGACACAGTGGATGCCTGTTTCTATGCAAACAATGCCTTGGCAGTAAAAGCATTTCCAATAGACAAAGTGGAAACCTCTAAAATGTCCTTTCACCTTACACCATTTTAAGGTGGATACACTAGTCTAAGCGATGTGCATGTAACAACCAGTACATGAAAGATATTCTATGTAAGATACCAGCAACAATAACAGGGAAAATGTTTAGTAAATTGTGAAAAGTGGCCATTTTAAGGTCATTCTGGGTAAAGTAGACAACCATTACCAAGACTTGGTCCTGTACTTCAGTTTGCTTTCCCTGCTCATCGGTGTGCATCTCATCTGCCCAACTTTGTTCTGGGGAAATAAATAATTTGTTGCTAAGATTTTATGTAACACCAAAACATAAAATACACGGGCTTGTGAATGTAACTGTGTTGGTATTCACTGAAATGTGTCAGGCTCCTCTGTACTTACCATCCAACTGTCCATGTGACCACAGCTCATTGCTTGCTTCTTCTGGGTAATGGCAGCCAGCAACAGTACCCTGGACCTCGTTTTCCTCATGAACATCTCCAGCATTTACCTCTGAGGAAATTTTATGACCATTCTGTAACATATGTTCATGTTTAACAGTTTTGCCAGTTATAACATGATGCTCATTAAGAAAGAACAGCTTCAATTTGCATAAACTGTGTTTAGAATAAACATACAACTGCATTATTCTAGTATGTAACAAATATTGGTAGAATTTCGGCAGCTGTCAAATGCTATTAGTACCTTTGTTTGGTTGAGATGAAGAGAGGATATGTCAAAAGATGAATCACCATCCTCCTCTGTCTGAGGATCTAATTGCTTATCTGGTTCTGTTGTGCCTTGTTGGCCAGAGACACTAAAAAGAAACATGACTTGATCATAAAGCAGCCATGTTTTGCTGGAGGCTTTGAGTCATTTGTCCGTATTATCCATAAGAATCACTGAAAGATACCTATCTGGTAGTTTCTCGGTGGAAGAAGAACTGACCAATGGACCTGGTCAGACAGAAATTAAATTAACTCTATAAAGAGCTCTAAATAGCTCAGCTCTACCACAGCAAGTTGTGATAAAATAAAAATCTGTTACCAGTGAGATGGTCCAGCTCCTGCTGTTTCATTGTAATTTGGTCATCACAGGCCTTGATCCTACATTCAGTCTCCTCTTTTTCAGCCTGCAGTGTGAGGAGCTTTTGGGCCAGAGGATTTTGGTAATAATATTCTTTATGGGACTGGAATATCTTTCTGTAGCTTACAATTCTCTCCTCATAGATTTCCCTTGTTGTGTTACAAATAAAGAACAATTCAGCTTTCTTTATTGCAGCACACAAAATAATATTTGGCATAATTAAATACCAAAGCTAACTTAACTCACGTGTCATGGTTGTAGCTGGCTTTTCTGCTCTCCAGTTCTGCTTTTAGTGTCTGCTCATACTGAAGGAGCAGGCTGTTAGCTGACTTCATGCTAAAGTTACATGGATAACAAGCATCAATATATGCATGTCCGTACTAAACTGCACTGTTTATGTTAAGAAATGTGTATAATTTGATCATTTGTCACCTTAATTCAGCCCATGACCTAGTCCTCATACCTTTGTGCATTAGCTTTATTGTGTATCACTGTGCTCTGCTTCATCTTGAGTTCTTCCTCGAGTTTCTCTATATTTCTGTGGAGTGTTTCAATGTAAGACCTTCTCTCAGCAATGTCAGCTCTGCAAACTGTTGACAAACACTTAACAACTTGAAGAACACTGTCAAAAAATGCTGTGATCAGAACAAGCAAAATAACACACAAAGTCTCAATGATATAACGTTAGCTACTTAGCCTACATGATAACTGTTTAAGCCAGTACACAAATTTATTCATTAATTTTTTAAAATAGACATACCTTTAATTTGTTGGTTTATTTCATTCCTCTTTTGGGAAAGCTCCCGGTTTTGACCAGCTGTAAAATACAGTTATATTATCTTATATAATAAATTAATTAAAAAGTGTTAGATTAGCTACTGACAGCCGTGAACCCAGCAGCTAATGTTAGCCAACATTAAACATTTACTTTGCAAGCCAAACAAACATCAAATAACAACAAAACTACAGCTTTTAATCTGCAATAAACCCAAAAACTGAACTCACCAAACTGAAAGAGAAGACTGTCGATGTTATTAAGTGAATGGCTGTTCATTTTACAACAATGGTAGTGACAATAGCTGATTCCTGTCTCAACTGACAAGAGGAATGCTGCTGTCAGACGTTAGCTAGTCCGGAGAAACCTTTGGAGTACAAACATTTTGTCCATTTACACAACAATTATTACATTAACGTTAATTATTTCATTAAAAGTAGTAGTAGTGGTATTAGTTTTAACCAACTTAGATATGGAAGGGCAAGCAATTCATGTCATAGTCTAACGTATTTTTAGTTAAGAGGGCAAGTTAGCATTTAGCTTTTAAATATCATTTGGAAATTATGTTAACTTTTTTGATCTACAGTAAATTGACTAACGTTTTTTACATATTGATGATCGTTTAAAAGTGACTATAAAAACAAACACGAATGATTAACGTTAATCTAATGAGCAGTGTACATTGTACATTTTCATATTTAAACTGTAGGTCTAATGACTTTGCACTTGATTATGTTTTATTTAACTATATTCATTCTCATAGGCCTACTGTAACCCATACAGTCTTTAAAGAGATTATAGACATTTATTTGTTATCATGTTTTATTTTCATAGACATGGTGGATTTTCTCTCCCCCATAGCCTTTCATGTTCCCACAGCGTTAGAGCGGTGGCATCACCGATGATGAGACAGAGGTCAGGGGGGCGGGCTTAGTGCTATTCTGGAAATCATTTTGCGTAGCGCATCTGTAACGGCAAAATACACCGATGTGTTTGTTGTGTGGGCTCTTGCAATGTGTTAAGAAAAAGATCAGTGCTTTATCCTCACACGGTATAGTTTTTTTTCTGCCTGGTGCTTGTCCAGTTTATTTAAGGTAAGAATACATTTCAGTTGCAATTCCAGTCCATGTTCTTCGGTTACTGTCTGCAGACAAAAGAGCGGACATGGGTGGGATTTAAATGGGAGGGGATCAGCTGTATGAAGAATGGCTTGCTTTGTCGATTTCACCCCATCAGATTGTGCATTTTTTGTACTTTATCTGTCATTATATGTGTAAAGAGGACAGGATTATGTTCATGCTGTAGACTGAGCTCGAATGTGTAATTCTCCACTGTCATGCAACAGAGGGACAACCCCCTCTTTTGTGCTTGGTTTGTCATGTATTTTGTGTGAACTGGTCGCTGTCTGTTCAGATGCTTTGAGGCCGTTAAATCAACAATAATGTGATATTTGCTAGATTTGATCAGTCACCCTGCTTTTAATGATGTGCTCTCTCTTTGTGTGTGTGTTTGTGTGTGTGCTTGTCACTTTGCCATCAGCCAAAAATCTTCAGCCTGAAAAGCACAATGTGTGGACTTATTTTGTGCCCCTCTGAACTTGACTATTAGTCTCCATATATAATCCATCAAAAAGTAGAGTCAAGTAGTTTACTGGATCAGGGGAGAGCATGGCACAGGGAGAGGAGCCTCACACCGACGGAGAGGGCAGCCCCCAGATGATATCCTTAAGATCAGATGTATCAGGAAACCATGTGGACGATGGAGAAGTTGGATCCTCTATAAGGAGAAAGAGGAGGAAGAAGAAAGACCTGCGTCCAGAGTCCATTATTGTCTACCGCTCTGAAATGGAGAGGGCACCTGGAGAGGACCAAGGCAGTGAAGAGGGAGCAGAGAGGAGCACCGAGGAGGGAGCTAAATTCCTCTGCACACCTACAAGTGAAGGTGAGGGGGTGTAATATTCTGTTGAACCAAGAAGCATACACCAGTTATTGAAAGGAAAAGATGTCTTGTTTTAATAGTACAGTCATATTAGATACAAACCAAGCAATTTTTACCATGAAAATCAAGAAATGTGAACAAATGTAAAGGGTTATTGTGAAATGATGTAAAAGTGGGACCATGTCAGTGATGGGATAGCATCACATAAAATACTTTTGAACAGGAAAAACACAAATTACCACCACATGTCTACACTAAGGATCTACAGACGTCTTGGAGTGCTGCAGACACACTGTCCCATCGCCATCATGGTCCTGCTCCTACAAATAAAGGGAACCTTATTTTTATAGTCTGGCACATGTCTAACTGTCAAATGGCATTTCTCAACAGGAGGAAGCTGGAGCCTTCCTCCAGACAGCCGCTACGTGACCCTTACAGGCACCATCACTCGGGGAAAGAAGAAAGGCCAGGTGGTAGACATACATGTCACTCTAACAGATAGGGAACTCAGGGATCTGGCCAAGTCGAAGGAACGTCTTAACGCAGAGTGTGAGGCGGGGGAAGACTCAAAGCGCACCTGCGGCTTAGGTGTGTCCCAGGGACCACATGTTGTCCTATGGAGCATTTCCTGTTTCCCCATTGTTTTCCTCCTCTCCTTCATCACCTCCTTCTACTATGGGACACTCACCTGGTACAATGTCTTCCTGGTGTACAATGAGGAGCGGACGTTCTGGCACAAGATTACAATATGCCCCTTCCTGATCATCTTCTACCCGATGCTCATCATGCCCATGGCACTGTCTTTGGCTCTGTACTCTGCTGTGGTGCAGGTGTCCTGGGCCTTCAGTGAGTGGTGGCAGGCAGTGCGAGACCTGGAGAAGGGCTTCTGTGGCTGGGCCTGTGGGAAGCTGGGACTGGAGGACTGTTCGCCCTACAGTATAGTGGAGCTGCTGGACTCTGACACTGTTTCTAGCACTCTGCAAAGCAAGGCTCCTAGTGAGCTTGCCCAGACATCATCAGTGTGAAACAGGGTGATGGTTAGGTCCAACAAACAAGCTGATAGCATTAAAGTTGTCAGTGCTTTTATTAATTTGATGGAGAATTAACACCTTTGGTTCAGTAATAGAAGACAAGTTCAAGTCAGTCACAAAAATGAGCTTAAAGGTTGGAAACAGTAGTTTGACAAAAAGTCTTTTTTTACTGAACAAGCTCCATTTGCTGATGAAGGAACTGAGACGTCAAAATAACAGGAAAGCATTTGAAAGATGCCTCATAAACGTTTCTGTAAAGGTTAATTTATGGCCTGAACTGTCTTTAGGTGCTGAACTATCTTAAAGCATTATTGGACTCTGAGCATGGGAGTGGTTATTATTACAAAATATTGAGGTCATCGCAGCTCATTCATCACTAAATGGCCACGGTAATTATTGAACAGCAATCCTACTCAGAGACAAATATAGACCTTGATTCCTATGGTTTGCATAAACACATTATTGGTGACCTGCAAGTTTTACCAAGTCATTACAGTCATCTGTAAATATCTGTAATTAAATGTATGTATTGTACAATGACAGCATGCATTTCAAATGTGTGTAAAGCTATTATTGTCAATCAGTGACGTCACATTTGAAGCAAGGTTGGATACTAACTGGGAAAAGTGGGCAACTGCCTCTGCCAGGGGCACATATGCAGGTTTACTGTGTGAAAGGTTGGAAATTACATTAATACTCATTTCAGTGGGAATATGCACCATTGAGCACAACATCAACTACAGTGTTAAGCAGTGTCTTGGGATGGGCTCTGTTGCAGCATCTAGTTTGTGAAAGATAAGGCTTGTGTTATTTTTCTTGTTGTCAAATCTCTTGAGAAGGCTGATCAACATGTTGACATTCAGACTTCTCTACACCACCTGTAGCACTCTGCTGCATGTCAGTTCCAACTGAAGATGTGAAACTTTATAAATGGGTCACATACATTTTAATTTTTAAAAGTGCTGCATTGTTTTCCTTAAAGGCGGGACACTTCAGTTTACAGCAAATATTATTCAAATTAGGAATACGTATGTTGTTGGGGACTAGTTTCAGTTGTGGATTAATATATACCAGGATAGTGAATGCAGTTCTCAAAATAATGTATTGTGTGTGTGTGTGTGTGTGTGTGTCTATAGGAATGAAGGAGTATGTCACCCAGTCCAACAGTATGGCTTATTGATGTTTTTATATTTTTTTTAATCATTCAGACTCAGTGGAATAAACCTATCAGATTTACTGAAGAAGAACTACTTAATTGGTTTTCATTTTTTCTTAAGATTTCTTTAAGATTGCTAACTTTATCCTTTAATATGTGTATTATATCCAGATGATATTATGGTTACATGGTTCATGATCCGTGCACATAGACAGTAGGGGGAGAGAGGTACACACAGCACACTAGGGGGTTAATTCCTATTTGCAGCCACAGTGAGGACAAGATGACAAACCAAACATTTCTTTTGTGAGTTTATATTTTTTAATTTTCAGGTTTTTATTTAATGAGTGCACCGTCCAAATAGATGTTTGTATTCTTGAACTACTTGTGTTGACCTAACAATTATGGTCCACTCAGCAGAAAAATCAAGTTGTCTGTAAGTTTCTACCTGAGAATACTTGTTATACAGCATAGTTTTAAATGTTGCTATAATTTATTTTAAATATCTGTGTAGTACACTTTCTGAATTTGTGGTAGCTGGGTGTTTTGTACTCTGGCACTTTGGGGTAAGATTATTGAAAACTCCTATGCATAGTTGATACTGTTGGTTTAAGTTGATTAAATGAATTTAATATTTGGTGATTTAAATATTGGTGACTAGACGTGACTGGGGAAAGAAATTAAATTTTATTTTCGTATAGGTAAAGATATGGATCAGTGGTTGTGGACTGAATCTGTATTACATGTTATCACATAATGCAAAATAAAGAATAACACAAAGTGTTGAATCATTACATTGCAATTGTGTGCTAGTTTAATATTTATATTATGGAAAACAACATCTTGTTTAGAACATTGCACGGCAGATCATAATTTCCTGTGGTTTCACTCTTAGTGAGATAAGTCAGGATGTATCCCTGCATGGTGCTCACAGATGCACGTGGCTCCTTGGGATTTGGGGTAGTCGTTTTGTGTATTTTAAGATATGATTATTGGCACCCTGGTGTTACATTGGGTTTTGTTGAAGAAAACCCATATGTCCCAATGCAAGCTCAGTAGTGTATTAAGCACAGTATGATAAAGAAAAGCACTGTTGAGGTCAACACACGTTCATTTACGTGTACTGGCCTGCTCTCCAAGTTTGTTCAACTGTTAAAACAATATAGGGATTAATATAAGCCCGGCGCCTGTTTTGGGGATTTAAATCGACGGCGCCTCCCCGAAATAAAATGTGTATATCTCCGCAACCACACGGTGTATTTGGTTACTCTTAGTGTCAATCGAAAGGGAACACTTGTGAGATTTGTCAGGAGGTGTAAATACCTTTCGATGACGTCGGTAAAATATGACAAAATATGAATCGTATGCCCTGGCAGAGCGCCCCATAGTGGACCTGAGATGTTGCTTTATTGCGCTTTATTGCTGTTGCTGTGTTTATTGTGTGGAAAAATGGTTTATATGACGTTGTAGCCGAGGTTTCGCTGAACATTTTGATGTATACATTGTTGGGGGTCGGCTATCACAACTCGCGTAGCATTCCTGTATTTTCCGTCCAGCCCGAGGGTCCCCTTTGAAGGGGACCTCAGGGTTGATAGATTAAAAACAGAAAAGAGTCAGGGGTCAAAACCCAGACTCTTCTTTGTACACAAGCATGCAAAATTAAATAAAAAAAGAAATAGGCTAAATATAAATGGAAAAACTATTAATATTAATAATATGTATGTATGTATTTAAAATATTTTTATTAATACATTTTTTGTCTTATTATTCTTGTTCTTCGTATTATTACGTATTTATTTATGATGATTAATTGATTTGTTTATCAAGGTTTATAACCTCAAATCCTGTAGCTGTGAAAGGTTTCGCTTTGCACTTTGTTTAATGTCACTGTGCACAATGGCACATGACACGCTCGAGGGCGTTTGACCTACATATTATTATTGATTTCTCAAGTCAAAACACCACGAATAACTTTAATATAGGCGGATGCAGGCTCGTTATATTTCATTAAACGTGTATGTCGTCATGCATGGGGAGCAACCGATCATATAGATGTTAAATACGCGTAACTCAGGAACAGTTGACACTGTACATAGGAACCTTGTTTGAGCCAACCAGTTTCTCTCCGGAACTATAACAGTGAAACACTTTTCCAAGGAGGGAAAAAGGAAGATGGCGGGGGCTAAAGTAAGTTAGTTTATCTTACGTTTCCTGCAGAAATGTATTAACTTATCACTATGAGTGGTGTTGTTGGCTGACATCCTTTTGTTGAATAGGTGGTTCGCAAACTTTAGAAGCAGTTTGTTCTTTCTGGTTAATTTAAACGAGTAAGCGACAGCGACATGTTGGGAAATGTTCAGACTGGAGCAAACGCTATCACACCCCCTGTCGAGTGTATACAAACTCAAAATATAAGGCTAATCACTGGTTTTAACAACGTGGCAACAAATCGCTTTAAACCAATGCATGAAAAACTTTCTCGTTTGTCTGTGTTCATTGTCTGTCACATCTAGCTAATGTGCTGAACTAAACAAGTCGCCGGGAATTTACTTAAATCTTAATGCTGTTTCTCTGTAGTCAGCGTTAGTGCTGTGCATGGATGTGGGGTTCTCCATGTCCAACTCTGCTCCGGGTGAAGAACCCCCCTTTGGACTTGCCAAAAAAATCGTCCAGAAGTTTGTCCAGCGCCAGGTACCTCTGCACATTTATACAACAAGAAACAAAAACTAGTCGCATGACAGGTATCTGACGAGATCGTCTTTAACAAACACTAGGCGTGTCGTTTGTCTCCTGACAGGTGTTTGCTGAGACTAAGGATGAAATTGCTTTAGTTTTGTTTGGCACAGACGCCACCAAAAACCCACTGGACCAGGACGGCCAGTACCAGAACATCACCATCCATCGCGACCTCATGATAGCTGATTTTGAGCTTCTGGAGGAGATTGAGAATCATATCCATCCACAGAGTCAGCAGGCTGATTGTATCCTTTCACTAGTTACTGTTTAATTACTCATCAGATGATATCCACTCAAATGATACAATACAGTCAACAGTTCTGTAGGTTGTGATGCAAAGACCAACGTTTTGACTTGATTCGTGCTTGTGACATCTTATTTGTGTACAGTCTCACGTTCCTAGACAATGCATAGGAAGATCTTAGCTCCTTAACTGCTGTTTAACAGGGCTGGATGCTCTTGTTGTCTGTATGGATCTCCTTGAGACACAGACTAAGTAAGAAGCTCCCTGAATCTACTTACTAATTGTTGCTGTTAGTATTCCACACATAGCAGTGTTCACTGTGCTGAATGGATTACTGGTTGTTTAATGGTGTGACTGAAACCGTATTTGGGATTTTTGTTTTGTTTCCTCAGTGGGAAGAAGTACAATCGTCGCAACATTGCACTCCTGACTGACCTCAACACCCAGGCTGGTGCAGATAACCTGGATGTTATTATTGAAAACCTGAAACAAGCTGACATCACCCTGCAGTTCTTGTAAGGTCCAAACATATTCACAATGTGCAATATTAAAGCTAATGTAATATATAAGTCTACATTTAATAGTGTTAAAATCAGGGTGTTTTGAAAGAGAGAGCATGTTCTATTGATAATTGATTCATTTAGTATTTTATTGCATGCACATGATTTTGTCATTTTAGAATTTAATTTTGCTGATCCCCAAATATGCTCACTTTTTTCCTTGAGTCTTGAGGCTTTGCTGTAAAGTTCATTCAGCCTAGTTTCATGACGTTTGGCTACTTTTATTATTGCTATCGTTTAATCAATCAGTCACTCAGTCAGACTTAAAAAGGACTTTGTCTTTATTCTGACTCTGACTTTTGCATTTACAGTTTGCCTTTCACTGTGGAGGACAATGAGGAGGGTGGAAGAGAATCGGACAGAAGAGGTCCTGGTCACCCAGGCGCAGGCAAAGGTCTGACCGGGGAACAGAAGAGCAGCCTGGATATGGTGAAACACATCATGTTGAGTTTGGACGAGGAGGATGGCCTGAATGAAGTTTATACCTTCAGGTTGGAAGGCTCTTATTAAACCCCGGATGAATATTTATGTCTTACTTGAACCTATTTCTCATTCATCTCTGAATCACACAGTTCTCTCTTCATATAAAAGTAGTTAATTTGCTTGTTGGCTGATGCCACATGATTTGGCTTCCCATGTGCTTCACCTCTCCTGCAGGATGGCCATTGAGCAGCTGTGCATGTTCAAGCTGATCGAGAGGAGACCCATGGCCTGGCCCTGTCAGCTGACCATTGGCAGTTCTCTGTCCATTCGTATAGTTGGATACAAAGCAGTAAGTTGACTGTAAAGTGCACTGGATTGAAATATCCTCCTCTATAATGCAGCTACATTTTGTGTTTATTCCTAGAGTGCTGTAAAACATAGATGAAGTTATGTTTGCACAAGAACAGAGAACTCTCCGCACCCCCCCCCCCCCCCCTTCCTTTTTGCCCCTCCTGCTCTGTTTCTGAAACTAACTCATATGTGGTCATAGCAGCCGGAGAGAGTTGTGGCAGTCAGGTAATAACCAGAACTAACTACAGTAACTAGTCTAGAACTACCGTATACAGAATATAGAGCCCATGGTTTTGGGTGGCATTGCAGCGACACAGTGTCAAGTAAAGGCGGTTACATTTTAGTGATATGCATATGTATATCTAACATTCTTTGTAGCAGATGTATCTGCAGTAATACAAGCAAATTATAGAGGGATGTTTTTTCCCATTAATGCTGATATAGTACTAATGCCTCTGTCACTATCGCATCATGTTCAGTGTTACTTGATACACATAACAGGTTACATTTTAGTGATATGCATATGTATATCTAACATTCTTTGTAGCAGATGTATCTGCAGTAATACAAGCAAATTATAGAGGGATGTTTTTTCCCATTAATGCTGATATAGTACTAATGCCTCTGTCACTATCGCATCATGTTCAGTGTTACTTGATACACATAACAGAGTTGTATGTGAAATGAGAAATTTCATTTTGATAGATGAACAAACTCCCCACTTTTCTAGTGTTGATGGTGTAAATTTTAACAAGTTCTCACTAATGAATTTTGCCTACAGAGGGCAAGAAATAAACACAAGGCCTGAAGATAGAGTGGGGCGGGGGGGTTAAGTACAGCTGGGAGACAATACTTCAATACAACTTTTTTTTTTTTTTACTTGATTTATCTAAAAATTTGCTAAATCTTAGTTAATGCAGCTTTAACATTCACATTATTGTTTATTAAAAACAAACAGAACATGTGATAGCTCATCAACTGTAGCCACATAAAGCCTTGTTAGTGAAGCCAAATGTTTTTCATCCACAAATACTACCCACCAGGTGACGGAGGAGAAGCTGAAGAAAGCGTGGATTACTGTTGATGCTCAAACCAATCAGAAAGATGACATCAGGAGGGAGACTGTCTACTGTCTGGATGATGACAATGAGACAGAGGTGCAGAAGGACGATACCATTCAAGGTGTGGGAGTTGTCATATTACTCCTCAACAGCCACTAAAATAACACACTGAATCACTCAATATTTTAAGTTCACTTCTCTTCTGTTCACAGGTTTTCGTTATGGAAGTGACATTGTTCCTTTCTCCAAAGTTGATCAAGAGCAGATGAAATATAAACACGATGGAAAGTGCTTTGCTGTGCTAGGCTTTGCCAAACAAGACCAGGTATTGGACTTCTTATACTTGTACTTTTATGACTAGACATGGCATTTAAAATGTATAAAAGTAAAACAAATCTATCTAAAGTAAACCTAAAACTTTGACGCTGGGCTGGTTCGGTTATTCACCTGCTGTTTCTTTTTACTGTCTGCAGGTGCGTCGTCATCTGTTCATGGGAAATCAGGTCGTCAAGATGTTTGCTCCTAAAGATGATGAGGTGAGAATAGACAGAACCAGTACATTTCTGGTGACGTGACTTGTGGTTACATGTTAATTCTGACATGTTTTTGTCTTATTTGTATACTTTGTCTGAGCAGCATGCAGGAGTGGCGCTGTCAGCCGTCATCCAGGCCCTGGACGAACTCAAAATGGTGGCCATCGTGCGTTACGCCTATGACCGGCGCAGCAACCCTCAGGTTGGAGCAGCGTTTCCTTGCATTAAGCGAGAGTATGAGGTGAGATAATAAGCCCCTTAACATGTAGTATATTCACCGAATTTGTGTCAAACAGAGTAACGGTAACGATCTGTCTCTCAAACTCCATAGTGTCTGATGTACGTCCAGCTGCCCTTCACAGAAGACCTCAGACAGTTCACGTTTCCTTCTCTTGAAAACAACAAAAAGTTCACTCCATCAGGTACAGCTTCTGTATGTCATGTTTATTAAAACATTCTCTCGTTGCTTCCAAAGCACTGACAGTATTGTACTTAATGGGGGACTTGAGGAATTTTACTTATGTGTTGTACAAGCTCTGATTCACACATCTGATGATATGTAAGTTATTTTTAAAAATGAAGCACATCATGGAAAGGACTTGTATCTCACTCACAAATGTGCATGTTAGGAGACAATATCTTTAATAGAACAGCTCTAAAGGTTCACATGAGAAGCGTCACGGATTGTTGTGTAAGGAATGAAAAAGCCCTAGAGAGAGAGAGACGGAACCAGTCAGGGTGTGAAGTAGATGTGAATGGCTTGGAAAATGAAAGTGACAAAAAAACATTAACATCAGACAACTGTTGCACACATGCGGGTGGGGGCAAACGCATGCTTATGTTCTGAGTTTCTACTTTTCAAAATCTGTGGAGGTGTCGTCAGAATTCTGCAGGTGCAGATTCTGTTTGGGCCTGCTGAGAAGTAACATAATTATAGATGTCATATGAGTAAAACGTACAGTGTTTCCCATGAAGTTTGGTGAAGTACCTCATTGTTTTTAGTTGCTGCACTGGATTTGCAACTCTGAAATCTGATAACATTTGCTTGGCTTTTGTGTTGCATGCATTATTGGCACTGTGTATCTGTGTTGAGATAAATAAGTTCAAAGACTTAAGTGAGAGATGAAGGAACAGTCTTTGAATACACAAAGTGTCTTGTGATTTCTTTAGATACACAGCTGTCTGCCGTGGACTCTCTCATTGACTCGATGATGTTGATGGAGAAGGATGAGAATGGAGAACTGAAGGACATGTTGAAGGTCCATGACATTCCCAACCCTGCCTTCCAGAGGCATTTCCAGGTACTGCAGTACAGTGTGTGCAGGCATACAGCACTCCTGTTCCTTCTGAGTTGATGCAGATGACAAAACCTTCATGTGTCTGAGTAGAGCTTCACCAGCTAGTAGCTGTTTACAGGTGCATCTCAAATTAGAATATTGTGGAAAAGTCCATTTATTTCAGTAATTCAACTCAAATAGTGAAACTCGTGTATTAGATAAATTCAGTACATGAAGTCTGAAGTAGTTTAGTAACAGAAAGTAGAGTGGTAGGAAAAAGATGCACAACTAACCGAGAGAACCGCAAGCAAAATTGATTCAAGAATTTGGGTGAACTTCACAAGGAATGGGCTGAGGCTGGGGTCAAGGCATCAAGGGCCACCACACACCGCCGTGTCAAGGAATTTGGCTACAGTTGTCGTATTCCTCTTGTCAAGCCACTCCTGAACCACAGACAACGGCAGATGCGTCTTGGGCTAAGAAGAAGAAGAACTGCCAAATGCACCAAAAGTTGGTTAAATGACCATGGTGTTGGTGTCCTTGACTGGCCGGCAAACTTACCAGACCTGAACCCCATAGAGAATCTGTGGGATATTGTCAAGAGAGAAATGAGAAACAAAATAATGCAGATGAGCTGAAGGCCACTGTCAAAGAAACCTGGGCTTCCATACCACCTCAGCAGTGCCACAGACTGATCACCTCCTTGCCACGCTGAATTGAGGCAGTAATTAAAGCAAAAGGAGCCCCTACCAAGTATTGAGTACATATACAGTAAAAGAACATACTTTCCAGAAGGCCAGCAATTCACTAAAAATGTTTTTTTTTATAGGTCTTATGAGGTATTCTAATTTATTGAGATGCACCTGTATATTCAACCAGAACTGTCTGTCTCACATCCCCTACCCAACCTTCCTACAGTGCCTGCATCATCGGGCAGTAAACCCCGGCACCCCTCTTCCCCCCATGGAGCCATGGCTGAAGGCTTCTCTTGAGCGCTCTGAGGTTATTAATGAACGTTGCAAAGAACCACTAGAGGAACTGAAGAGAAAGTTTCCTCTCGTAGAAGCGGAGAAGAAAAAGAAGCTGAAGACTAGTGCTCAGATATTTGGCAAAGAGTAAGTCTAATTAGCAGGTTTTTGAACGTCATGGACGAGGTTGTTAGTAAATGTACTGAGTTTGTGTAGTCCATATTAATAATGTAGAAGGGGGGGGGTCTATTTTATAAACCTTGTTGTAATGTGACTTACTAATTACAGAAACAATAGTTTTTAAAGTATTTCTGGTATTCTAACGGTCACCTTTGTGATTTACAGCAATGAAGAGCCGGATGATAAGAAGGCAAAAGCAGATGAGGAGTATAACCTGGCTGACATTAGTGAAGTCATTACTTCGGTGAGAAAATGGGAGAGGGCGATTTTAGAGAACCACTTTTTACTTTTTTCTATTCCAAATTACAGTACTTACATTGTTTCAGTGTGCATACTTCATTCTACCTCAGCCCTCACTGATATGAAACACTTATCCAGGTGGGAAGCGTGGATCCAGCCCGAGACTTCCGCGTACTGATCAAGCAGCAGAGTCTTCCATTCGGAGAAGGTGAGCTCCAGGTTTTCTATGTCTTTTCTGCTGAGCGAAGATAAACATTTTCTGTTTGTGTCAAATGGTTATTACTCATGTTCAGTACTTGCAATTGTTTCTCTTTGGCTGGGGTGTCCTTCCTAGTCTGTCAGCAACTGACTCTCAGGATAGAGCAGTTTCTTATCAACAAGAGCACACCCTACTACATGAAAGGCATCACCTGTATCCAGGCTTTCAGGGAGCAGTCGGTTAAGGTAAGTAAACATTCACCATTTTCCAAATGTCTGATGATGTGGGGGTTTCTGTTTCAAGATATTAGCACACTGCATAGTTGTGGCTTTGCTGTGGAGATTATGAGTCAGCCTGAGAAGATTACGTCAGTTTCATTTCTCACGACTTGACCTGTGGCCAGTTCTAGTGCGAGTGTTTATGAATGCTGATATGTGCTTTTAGTAGACTCTTATTGAGCGTTTCATATCTTTGGTAATCCAGCTGGGGAATGCTGATCTGTACAATAACTACCTCCAGTCGCTGAAGAGGAGCATCCCAACCAGAGGGCTAGAGGTCTTCTGGGATCTGCTTGTTCAAGGTGTGATAAGGCTCTTGACTCAGGGCTTCAGGATTTCTCTCAAGCCAGTCTTCCCAAGAGACCGCATGAAGTTTTTTGCATAAATTCTTGAATGCAAAAATAACTTGAAGCAATAACAGAAGCTGTTTGATGCTTAAAAATCCCTTGTGGCCAGAATCATGTCTGTTAAAAGTTCAGTGTTTGTGAACTTAACTGTTGTTGTGTGACAGATGCCATAACATTGATCAGCAAGGCTGAGGTCGAGGGAAGCACCGTGTCCAGAGACGAAGCTGATCAGGTAACTCTGAAAATTCCCTTATTTAAACCATTATGAGCTGTTGAGTGAATGACTTTTGTATTGTAAATGAAGGAGTTGAGAGCGAAACTGCTTGTGGTAATAAATCAGTAATGACTGCCGTCTTTGTCCTCAGTTTCTGGTTGCTGAAGAGAAGAAAGAAGAGCCATCTGCTCCAGACGAAAATACCGGGGATGTTGACGACTTGGTAAGTGTTTCAGTCAGTGTTTTCTGTGACAACCCATTTCAGGTTTTAAATATTTAACTGATATGCCTCCAAACCCCATGTTACTCATTTCCTGTATATTTTTAGGATGTGCTTCAGGGTACATCTAATGATGTGCCTAGCCTATTGAGACCACTGATATAAACTCTACAGTCTGACTTTTTTTTATTTCTTCTCCTTCCTGTGCAGCTGGACATGATGTAAAAAGGGAGGCAAGGGGTTTGTCTCCAGTGGACATGCAAAGAATGATTTCATTCATCCCAGCCAGGCCAAAGCAAATCAACCGCTCATGGTTCTGCCTCCCACTAGGAGACCCTGTGCATAACGCACAGAACAGGATTTGAGTTAACTGATGTTACTGTAAATATGTATCCAAACTTTAAAAAATGTTTTCTCACAATGAATGTAAATTAATCTCTTCTATGGTAAGTCAGTAATTCTGGGTACAGTGAGTGCTTGAAGTAGCAAGATTTGTGCACTAGAAACCTTTGGGATTTTACAGAAGACAGTACTTTAGTGTCCTACAAACTGTTTACTGAGTTAAGATAACATACAGTTTGTAATAAAGCTTAACAGTATGTTTTTCAATAACTATATTTAGGATGAATATGAGTACAGTGAAGTCAACTGAAAATTGTATAGTGCAAAGTAGAATCATAGTAAACCTACAAAAGAATTTGAGGTCATTTTCTTCCTCAGAATTCTGACTTTAAAGTGGCTCCAATTCTCTTTTGTATAAACCAGTATCTCATTATTAAATTGCTAGATTACAAACAGTAGCACCCTTATGATATTCATGTCTACATACAGTAGGCATGGTTTCTCTAACATACCCACTGGATGAAACGGTCAAACAAAGTGGACTGGGTCACCTCAGAGAGGTCTTTTCCTTTAAAGATGGCATCCTGGTCACCCATGGCCAGCTTTGTGAGGACTTCTTGGTCAACATCATCTCCTGTGGCAATTACTATGGAGACGACCTGCGTGCTACGCATGGCACTAACCGCCTCCTCCAGATTGACGCGGTCAGTGATGCCGTCTGTGATGAAAACAAATGAAATCTCTGCATTGCGTCTTGACCGGCGAGCGTTTCCTTTACCCAAGATGTTGTCTATGGTGTGGAGGATAGCAGGCCCCACGCTGGAGGATGAATCGAGATAAGGCAAACGTGCTATGCCATCAGAGATGAGGGCAGGGTCATGTGTCAGAGGGAAGGCCACATGACGCTCGTTCTCCTTGCCAAACTCTAGTAGTGCCAAGCGGGCTCGCATACGATCGGTCTTGCTCCGGGCCAGTACGAGTGTGTCTGCCACCTTCTGCACAAATTCACGGACATGTCGGAAGTTCTCAGTCCCCAGGCGCTCTGAGCCATCCAATAGAAAGACCAAGTCTACTGGCCTGTTGACACACGGAGCTACATCAGGCTCTGTAATGAAAGGGCAAGAGAGAGGAAAAGGGGGAGGGGGGAATAAGATGCATTAGAACACTGAATTGATCATCTGTCCTCTAGTTAACACCTACCACTTTTACAGGGGAGTTCAGGGCAAACGATCACTGGCTCTAGAAGGGAAATAAAATAGACACAGGTCAGAAATTGTTCAGAGGACCATTATTGTTATCCTGTTGGATAAACTGATACAGGCTTACCCGGACAGAGCACAGTCTCCATTTTTTCTAAGAAGTCCTCAGCCACCAAGTCAACGTAACGCCTCATCTCACTGACACGTTGCTTCTTGCCACATGCTATTGAACCCAGGATTTCATCATCCTGTTCCTTTTTAAACATATCACCAACCCCAATAGCATTCACCACCACATTGTCGTCATCACAAAGGTACTTGAGCAGATCCTCGTCATCACGAGGGTCAAAGCGGCCATCTGTGATCACCACCACGGACACTCTAGCTCGGGCTCTCTTGCTGTCCCTGATTAGGGTATCGTAAGCAAACTTGAGAGCCGATGGCGTGAAGGTGCCCCCAGCAATCCACTGCAGATTCTTCACGGCCATCTTAAAGGCGGACATGGAGTTTATGTTCGGGTCATCAAGACGAATGGCCTCAAAGGTCCCGTTGTGACTGAACTGTACAACTCCAACTCTTGTGCCTAAACAGCAGCAGACATGTCAGGCAATGCGTTTCCAAATTAGTGAGTTCAGTTTTAAAAGAATAAGGCTGTCAGCTAATATCATGAGGAATCCAAAACTCTTCAGTTACAGATTGAATACTGTTCCATGTGAAGTTACTGTTTACAGTAGGAAGGTGAAATATTAACTGATAATACTTTAGCTGACTGCAAATATAAATATTCAATGATAAGTGTCATGTGCTAATGAAGAGCACAGTGCCAATAGGGGGGCCTTTTTAATGTTTTTGGTGTTAGCTGTATAGTCAGAGGTCAAAAGTGATTCACTCTTTGGAAACGCCTCATGTTTCACTTGAAACTGTTCCTGCAAAGCAACTTATATGGCTGGCTGTATTGTGTATTTGCTCAACTGTACCAGTTGGGGACGCAGGGTCATTGGCCATAGATCCCAGCCTGTTGATAGTGTTGATTACAAAATTCTTTTCCAGGGTGAAGTTTGTTAGCCCAACGCTCTCTGAGCTATCGATTACAAATACAACGTCCAGAGCTCCACAGCGCTTTTCACAGTCTGAGAAAAGACAAGAACAGGATCACTACACTAAAAGATACCAACAATAAAAAATGTCTGATCCATTCCTATATGTACGTACACACACACACACACACACACAAAATATTAACTCAGAACTCACACTGCATGTTTGTATGTTATTGATATTTACTTACCACAACAGCCACACGTCTCCCTGATGTAAGTCATGATGTCACAGTCCTGCAGCAGCAGATGTACATGTTAGAAGAAATCCAACCAAGACAATATACATAAACGTATTTACAAAACTGAAGTGTTTACTCACAGTGAGCCCGGGATCACCCATTGGCCCTGGCCCCCCCTGCGTGCACACACACACAAACACAAAAGAGACAGCAATGCAGTTAGAGCTCAGATTCACACATGCCTGAGCAAGTCATGAGGGTTTGTGCTGTTGCTTACATCAATTCCAGGGTCTCCTTTGGGGCCTCTCTCTCCTGGCTCACCTGGCTGACCTGGATTCCCCTAAAAAGAAAACCTCTTCAGTGAAAGTGACTTGTAGTATCACTGGAGTCATGATGAAAACAGTCTAAATAGATGATAGTAAATAGGATTTCACATGAAATCAAGTTCTATAGCCAATTTTTAGTGCCTGGTTACTTTTCACCCACCCTGCACTAGCATGGACAGATACTTTTCAATGACAAGTGATAAAATGTTATTCATAATTTGACTGACTCCACTACTGAAAATCACTGAGGCTGAACAGCGCACACGCACACACAACATTTTAAGATTAGCATGTCCAGAGGTAATCCCAGTGGTACCAGGACTACATGAACAACTATCCAAGTTTGGTTTATTTGTCAAACTTACGAGCTCTCCTGGTTGTCCTTTGTCTCCGGGCCCTCCTTTGGGGCCACAGTCACCTCTGCTGCCCCTGGGTCCTCTCCTGCCTGGATTGCCTCTGTCTCCCTGGAGCAGAGTTATTTTAGAGTCAGATAAAGATCTTTAAATCATGCAGGAATTTAATGATGTAAACAAACCATACAGTGGGTCCTCTTGGTCCAGGATAGCTGAATCCCTGTCTTCCTTCGTCTCCCTTTAGAATACACAAGTATTTATAATTAAATGTTGCAGTTTTCTTTTTACACAATACAATTTCTGTACTGAAAGAGATTATCTTTGGCCACCTTGGGTCCAGGAAGTCCTGAGTCTCCTCTTGGTCCAGGATCTCCAGGATTTCCCCTGGTACCCTGCAACCACAGAAGATGGCAATCCAATTAGAGGTGAGCTGTTTACACTTTATTTTCATACATCACTGAACAGAAGATTCAACAATGAGCAGTTGGCACTGGTGTTATAATCAACACACATTTGCACCGAGGCTTCCTGGTTCTCCTGGCTTCCCCCTCGGTCCTGGTAAGCCTTGGTCTCCCTGGGAGAGAGAGGTAATGGGAAACATTACTGGACACCCCCCTTCTCTCCAGCCTGCACAGAATTATTTATGCTGATGTTAATTTATCAATGCATAGCACTGGACACATTTTAAAAGGGATTTTTTTTTTTTTTTTTTAAAGTTCTTGGAAAATTTTTTATAACAACAAACAGCTCATTTTGGCAGGATGAAGGCAAAACACCAATACATAAGGTCAAAGGAAGGCTTGCTGAGTTCTTAGGAAGCTGTTGAGTCACCCCTCTGTCAAAATCCACCCACAGCTCAATCCCCTCACCGTTGCACCCTTGAATCCATCTTCCCCGGGTCGACCTCTGCTTCCCTGCGGCCCTCTCTCTCCCTTGAAAATACATAAACATGTCAGGATTTGTCAGTCATCAACCGTTGTATGCAAAATAAAACAGTAACTAAGAGGCAGTAATTCTATTTCAGTGAAATAGGTAAAGAATTTTCCTGAGAATGTGTTTAGGAAATGCCCTTTAACAACACAAAGGCACATAATTCTGGAAGGAAGTGTTTGTCTCCCTGGAGGAGTAAAACACTGCCGAGAAACCTCATGGGACTCTGTTCCGTCTCATGCAGAGATATTAAACAACAACATTCAAAAGCTCGTGGTTAATGTGTTTATGACATGGGAAGCATTGCTTTCTGTTTTGGTAAAGCTAATGCCAGCGGTCAGTGCAGTGAAGTACATGTTACTACTATTCCAGAATGAATCTGCTGCTTTAATGAAGGCAACAGAAGCAATGGTCAGCAAAACAGTGCCATGTAAAAGGAAATTCTGGGGCTCAAAGAAAGATTTCAACATGTCAAAGCTTTGGATGAATGCTATGATATCGCAAAAGCAATTAGATTCATGCTGGAGAATAATAATGCAATAATAAGAGAACAAAGCCCTGAGCAAAGAAAACTATGCTCTGCATGTCAAGATTGAGACGCTCCACAGGCGCTGTTGAAATCTCTACTAAGATCAACAAAATCTGTTAAGTTGTCCTCCTGACCACCAGCTCCTTTTCCCTCATGTTCTCCTCCAAGTGTTTTTCAAACACAAGACAGTTGATTTGCAACTCAAATTACATTCATGAAATTTAAAGTGTATGACAGCGTTTCTCGGAGTGCTGAACTTACCCTCTCTCCTTTTACCCCATCAGGTCCCTGTGCTCCCTTTGGTCCAGAGTCTCCTCTCCTTCCCTGATAACATTTAAAATTATATTACTAACAAATCACTGCAAATTCTGCAAATGATAAATTTATTACATGAAAATAAAACATTTAAAATACCTGTTCGCCTGGTGGTCCAGGTAAACCTTCAGGCCCCTATGAGAGTTGAGTTTTATTTCAGTCAGCTTTGTAACAACAGTTTAAGCTATAAGAAAAGTAATGATGAATTCAAATTTTGTTCTGTACCGTAGGTCCTTTTTCTCCTGGTGGCCCTGGATTTCCAGGATTTCCTCTTTCACCCTAAAGAAAAAAGATTTGAGGCCAAGGATTGCTTTTGAAAGTAAAAAATAAATGTAAAAAAAAATCTCCATTTTCAGAAGATGTTTTCTATTGCATTTCAATTTGAACATTACCTTTGGTCCTTGTTCACCCACAGGGCCAGTAGGGCCCGACTTCCCAGGGTAGCCAGGTTCACCCTAAACAACAAACAAAAATACATTACTTAAGATGCTGTTGTACATTTTAAATACATGTAAAAGTCTATGGTCCCAGTGATGGGTGGAGAGACAACCTCGCTATTCTTGTGTTATGACCATTACTGGACAAAAACAAAGTCGGACCTGTGGGTGGTTTCATGAAAAAGGCCAAAATCAAAGGGATCTCTTCAAAAGAATGTTGTCAGAAACTGAATTTGAACCATAATCTACACTTAAAAGCCAGAGAGGTCTTCTTAAAACACACTGTTATCTTGTTTAGGCGGTCAGCCAGGCCTAATGCACATGTGGGTGTAGCCCAAGAATTTGAAGGGCTGACTGAAAAAACATCTCAGACTCAGCTGGACACCGTCAGACTTAGCTCAACTCAACATCTATTTGCGAGTCTGGCCATATTTGTGTCACATCATTCAGGTTGTAATCACAGGCAGCTGAGTGGGCGAAGTTTTCATGCAAGCCTCCCTGTTGTAATTCCAGGCTGCCGGCTTCACTCGATAATCAGACTGAATCGTGTATTTGTTTCTACTTTGCATCTGACATGGAGTTCATGTCAGGTGTTTTTTTTATTTTGTTTGGACCAATTTTATTGCCCCCAACCAGTGAGTGACATATCTGCCCCATCAGTGTCATTTTCAGTCGACATGGACCGACATTTTCACATCAGTCGAAGAAACACTGACCAACAGTTGTTGCTTCCGTAAACTGCCTTTAAAAATTTGGCCTTTTCTAGTTGCAGTGTGATCCTGTTGTGATTTCAATGTAAAGCCTGATAACTTTCTACCCAATTCCACAGTTTCCACTCATTGTAGATATTTCACACTGGACCCAAGTGCTGGACTAACAGACTGATCAGTAAGGTGTAGACTCTGGAACCGAGGTTCGCCACTTAAGATCTTAGTTCTGATTTAATACAGACCTTTTCTCCTTTGTCTCCTGGTCGCCCCATGTCTCCAACATCTCCGTAGTACCCATCTGGTCCCTTTGAAACGCACACAAAAAATATGTTCAGTAAACTAATTTTCATTGTTAGATGACTGATGGAGCCCACAGGGGTTATTCAATCTGTAAAACTCATCAAGTACAGTGGTTAGAGTTGGACCCATTCATGATCTTGCCAAAGATAAAAGCCGCAGCAGCTCTTCTGCATAGCTATGAACATGGGCAGCTGGAGAGCAGTGTGATATATAATTTTCTACAGGTTCAGACTGACCTCATCACCAGGATCCCCTTTGCAACCAGAAGCTCCAATTCGGCCAGTTTTACCCTGAAGATTTCACAGACATAATCAAATCATACTGGCTATTAAAGTCACTGTATAATGTACATTTTGCTTTGTTGTGTGAAGACTCACCTTCTGTCCATCGGTTCCATTCCTGCCAGGTACCCCTGGTGCGCCCTGAGTATTTGGCAGTGAAGACATAATTTACTACAGTATGTAAACACTGACTGAACTGGATGTAGTGGGATGTAGATGTATGCAAACGCAGCATTAAAAACATTATTTACCTTTGCTCCACTTGCTCCGATTTCACCCTGACAAGGTAAAACAGACCCATTATTCCCAAGGAGCATTTCAATGAATTTGGCAGATAAACAGAAATGGCAGGAATAGAAGGATTTCTCACCTTCTCACCTTTCAAACCAGTCTCTCCCTATATCAGAACACAGCAGGTGATGTTACTGAGATTTTAAAAGTGCCATCTAACATACAGCAATTATGTAATATCAAGAGCGAACCTTTGGACCGGGTTGTCCGATTGGACCTTCAATGCCAGGATCACCCTGAAATATAACGAATTGTATTCAGCATTAATTTGGCATGCAGTACTTTTAAAATAAAATCTTACAATTTAATAGTGGTTCATTAAGTTCCTTAGGACATCATTTCTACCTACCGGTCTACCCCTTTCTCCTTTTGATCCAAGACTTCCCCCGTCTCCTTTTATACCCTATAAACGTACAGACATGTTGACATAACAGTCTTGGGTACAAGCTGAAATATACATGTCATTTATATCCACATTTAGTTTTTCCTTCCTTACTTTTGCCCCTTGAAGCCCTTTTGGTCCAGGGACCCCAGGAGCCGTGTAGCATTGATGTCTATAACACTACAGGAACAGTGAGGAAAATAAAACAGTACCGAATGTGGTAATACACGGAAACATAGAAAACAAGAAAGAAAGGCATGAATGTGTCCAACCTCCTTGGTAGTAGCAGATGCCCAGACTTACCTGTAAATAGGCTTGATATTTCTGTAAAAGAAAAAAGACAGTAAGTGGAAAGTGCCTGACAGTGATACTGGAATTCAATCTGAATCGAAATTAATACTTTCAAAGCAAGAAAGAAAGAAAAAGAAAAAAAAAGATTTCAGATCACCATGGCTTTTATGATACGATCGATGGATTCAGTATTTATTCTTGGTCGCCCGTCAACGACGTCCACGGCTATGTAGTCATCACGGTACACCTCAGTGGGAGAGCTGGCTATCTCCTTCATCCCTAGGTCCTCAATCTCTCTGGACGCTGCAACTGAGAAAATATGGACCCCTTGCTCACGGGCCCTCTCTGCCATCACTTTGATCCCTCCACATGGATTTCCTGTCACATGGCCATCAGTGATGACCACAGAGAAGAGGACGGCCCTTGTCCCTGAGAAGTGCTGGGTCAGCTGGTAGGTCATGTTCTTCAGGGCGCAGTCAGTGTAGGTTCCTTTGCCCAGATATTTGATCGTACCAAGGTTCCTGATGAAGTTTTCCCTACTCGTGAACTGGCTGAAGACTATCTGCGTCTGGGAGAAGTGCAGGCCTCCTATGGACCAGGTGATCTGGATCTGGCCCTTGTACTCCTCGTCAGCCAGCCTCTGTGCAAAGATCTTGGTGAACTCCTTGATGTTTTGCACCAGGATACCAGGAGGGGACTCCTGTAAGGCGATAGTCTCTGAGGTGTCGATGGTGAAAAACAGCTTGATGGGACAGTCGACTATCCCAACTGCAGGAGAGCACAAAGTGTAAACACCTTCACTGCACAGTTAGTCACCTCTGACATCAATGACAAATTAGATGCAGTGGTGGAACGTAACCAAGTACACTTACTCAAGTACAAATTTGAGGTACTTTTCTTGAAAATATTATTTTCATGCCACTTTATAGCATTATATAGTGCTAGAAATGCTTTATACAGTAGCATTATATGTCACATACAGTTTTAGATACTTAAAGTTTCGCATACTAATCATATGAAGAATTTACAAAATATACTGCTTTGTTATAAAATAAACCACCAAACAACTAGTAGATCTGAAATGGCTAGTTGACAAAACATTAACTGGAAGATATTCTGATTATTGTTAAAGTAATTATATTCCTGCCTGTTTATCCTTACAATTATTTTAATTTACTTACAATTTAGAGGTTTTGACTATTGACTGTGCAGGTGTCCTCTACATTAAACTGTTCAAAATGACCCCCACGCCAACATAAGGAAGTAGTAAACGCTGCTTATAAGGATGATCTTATTGTGTACTTTTTACTTCACATTTTTAACAAACTTTAGTTAGTAGGTACTTTTCAGATTGATCAGTTTGTAAATTATGATGCAACCAAAAGTATATAAAGCAATAAAAATAGGCTCCAATTACAACATTACTATACTTCTCATGTTAGCGCATATCAAAATAAAAATACAATGAAACTGACAGGGATTATTCTGTGTAATCAGCACATATTGTTTCCAATACTCCTGTACTTTTGCTCAAGTAATATTTTGAATACTGGACTTTTACTTGTAATGGAGTATTTTTCTTTATAAAGTGGGATATTTCTACTTTTATTTCTGATTCTGATCAGGTTCTGATCTTTCGCCAACATTGAGTGCATGAAAATAGCTGCATACTTTTGAGGTAAGTCCACAAATATCATTATAATCATATATTACTTAGTTGCAAAGTAATGAACACAACTCACTCTCACAACCTTTAGGTCCTGGCTCAGGTGGGAATGGAGATGGAGTCGGTTCTGGACTGTCACCTCGCCCAGGAATTGGCCTGGGCCCATGAACTTGAGGGACCGCAGCTCGGAGCAAGCACAGAAAGATGAACCCTGAAATCATCCCCATTTTTCCTGCAAGACAGAGAGAGACAGTTGAGGCTTTTACAATTTTTAATTCCAAAGCTCTGTGTGAACGCAGGAAATAGCTGTCAACGAGTGAGTCTTCACAGAAGGCGCCTCCACATAGCTTAGGAATGTTTATCGTTGTTTTAAACAAGGTCAATAACCACACTGTGTGGAAATAGGACAACATTTAAGCCGATGCTGAACTGAGTGCAACTATTTTTATTCTCCTTTATACTTATACTTTACTTTACTGTACTTCAGAGGGAAATTGTCTGCTACATTTTACTCCACTACATGCAGTTTTACATCCAAAACATACCATCTTATAAAAAAAAATGACAACATTACATGTTAAATTACCTGACGATATTGTAGCCTGTAAAAAGTAGTCAAAGTTATATCGACTTCAATTAGCTACAGCCTAATACTGGCGTATCACTGTGGTCCAATATATCATGTAGAGTAGAACAATACAAATACATTTTGCTGATAATACTTCTGTGCTTTGATTTAAATGACATGTTGAATGTTGAATGTTTAACAGCGTCAGAGGTGGAAATGAACCAACTATGTTTACTCAAGTAGCTAATATACTTAAATACAAGTCGGGGGTATGTGGTACTTGAGTATTTTTATTTTCTGCTATTGCTTAACTTCAACTTCACTACATTTAAGAGGCCAGTTCTGTACTTTTTATTCCACTTCAATTTATTTGGTGTAGGTACTTTTCAGAGTCAGGTTAATAAAACAAAATGCTGTATAACCCAACTGAGAGCCAGTTAATAAAATAAATAAATAAATAAATAAATAAATAAATCTTAAATGCACTAAAAATCAGGCAAAACAGATATAACAACAATACAAATCCTGCTTTATTGATCCCTGGGTGGAAATTTACAAGCTACCCAGCAGAAAATCTAATTATAAGCATAAAAAGGTAGTTCAAACTTAGCTCCACCTTTACCAGATGCAACATTAAATGTAATGTGCAAAGTTATTCATCAATAAATAAAATGCAATAATATGCTATACGTTAATATGAATACTTTTGGTACTGGCAACAGTACTTTTACACTGCGGTATTGCTAGTTTTAAGTAAATAATCTGAGTTCCACCAATGAAGAGCAAGTCTTCCACATTTGAACCCCATAGGCTACGTTAGGCTTCACTTTTCATACTTCACAGCTGTTTTTCGTCCTAAAAACACACAGGTCCGCTGTAAGAGGAGATAGATATTTGATATTTGTCTCTGTCGGCGCACCATACACTAAACCCTTATAAAGATAACATACAGTGTACTTTACCTGTTGAGCTGCGACTGGAGGCTGCCAGGAAATTCAAGCAATTTCCAAAGACCGTAAACTACCGATAATCATCTCAATCGGAAAGTTCCCATATCAGAGGAGTCAGTCAGGGTCACTCCGCCCGTTTTATTCTCAAATGACGCACGAACGTGTCCGGGGTGCGTGGGTACACACGCAGGGAGAGTCCAGTAGCCCCACTGGATTGTGTGCAGTGTGAAATAATAGCTGGAGTCCAGAATGACAGCACCCACTCCCAACATGAAGAAGGAATTCTGGAGGATAAACATAAAATACAGCAGACTGCCGTGGTCTATTTATCTGCCTGGTCTGACAGAATTAAGTTCAGTGTCACAGACTGCAATTGCAAACACTTCAGCTTCACTTCTCCATATCCCTACATGGAGAAGGCTGCGAACATCCAAGCTCTGTTTATATTTGGGGACTATACAGCATGAGAGATGTCATGGTGGAATTTAACTGCTGCAGCTATCCAGTTTATTAAGCAAGTGTTCCCTTAATTGATTAGCTGATGAATATAACTGAAGATTTGTCAGCATATTTTCGCAACTCATATTTTTTAACAAAAGGCCAAACACTTGCTTCTTCCAACAAATGTAATGATTAAGTATTTTCTCTGTTTTATGACACTGTTACCAGAAAATCTGTGGGTTTTTGGACTGTTGGTCAAATAAACCCATCACTTTGCACTGTGGGGAATTTTATACACATATAAAGTACAGGTACATTTCAGTTTTGAGATATCTGTATTTTACTGAAGTACTGACGTTTAAGATGTTATATACAAAACAACAAGCAGCAGATTTAATGTTTAGTTGAAACCTGGCTGCGGAGTTTTTCTCGTAAACAAACTCCAGATTGACGTTTTCTTACCAAATTACACTCTGTGCATCCTTCGGGTATAACAAATGTATTTCTTAAAAGTGTGAAAGCCTGCGTAGTTTGAGGTCCACATGCTTGCAGTCTTCTTCTTCCCTGTCTTTGCTGCTGCATTACGAACCCACAGGAAGGACGCGTGTGCATGTGCACGGGGAAAAACAAGTTGAGGCGTAGTCTTAAAGATTTGGCTCCATAGCACTGTTAATTCAATATCCTGTTACTTTCAGATGCCACTGCAATTTTTCTTTTTGCTTGTTATGGCAGCCTAAGTTTAGTTTAATTTAGTTTCGCTCTCACTTGGAGCCAATCCCAGATGACACTGGGTGAGAGGCGGGGTGCACCCTGGACAGGTGGCCAGTCCATCACAGACACACATTCACATTCACACTCACTACGGGCAATTTAGAGCCACTAATCAACACAAGCAGCATGTCTTTGGTGTGTGGGAGGAACCTGGAGAACCCGGAGAGAACCCACACAGGCAGAGGGAGAACATGCAAACTCAGCAAAGAAAGGCGCCGGGGCTCGAACCCGGAACCTTCTTGCTGTGAGGCGACAGTACTAACCACCGCCCCGCTGTGCGGCCCTAAATCCGAGAGTTTGCAAAATAAAAACATGCTACTGCATCACGAGTTTAATAAAATATAAGATCAACTTACTGCCTCGTGAAGGACATGTTCCATTCACACACTGTGGGTAGATTATGGGCTGCCTGTCTTTTCATGCCTCCTTGAGTTATATATTTTTAATGAGTCCAGACCAGGGACGTGTCCTCTCTGCAGTAACTGTGGTGAGGTCACTCGATGGGCCCTGATGACTGACACTTTACACTTCATTTAACTTTAGTATTTATAAGCAAGTACAGACACGCTCTGGTGCAAATGTTATGAGAGGCACTTACAGACTGGAGCTGACTGAAGACTCTGGCCATTAAGGTGAATCAGTTGTTACACACTGGGATGCATTTAGTGCTCAGGTTAATCTAAAAGGTCAGCGCCTTTTTAATGTAATCCTTCTATGTAAAACCATAATGTATTAAACAGGCTTATACTCCGAATCTGTGTGACTGCCATTTTCACAGCACTCACATGAAATGCTTTATAATCACAGGTGTTACTAATGACATTAATCAAGGTTCTGTTCGGGTACAGAGCCTGAATTAACGTGATTAGCAACACCTGGGATTCAAAATGGCTGCTGTGAAAAATTGCACAGTAAACGTTTTATGCTCATAAAATTGTTAAGTTAAAAATAAGAAAAAAAAACATCTTTTAAGTTTATTTTCAGTATTTAAAGGCAAAAAAACTGGACATCTTCAAATAGTTGAAATCAGGAGTGAGGAAGCTTCAAGAATGGAGACAAGATAGTAGCACATGGATGTGGGGAGGTGACCCTTCTTATTATTTATCCAACTCAACTCGTGCACGTTACTTTGCGGATGCAGTTACCCGTACTTAGAAATACCAGATTTCCATCACCACCAAAATCAAGTCTTTTTGCCCCCGAGAGAGGAGTCAAATCTTCGCTGTGAAAAAGAAGCCAAGCAAACTCAAAAATATGCTGACAAAGGTGTGAAGGCTTGTATTGTTCAGCAAGAAGGACCGCCCAACCTGAAACTTGTATGATGGTGTAGCTGCTTTCCAGATTTGATGCAATAAAGCCATGCTGATACTATAAACCTGTGTTGTTTAGCACGGTGCCCAGTCTTTCATGGTTTAAACAAAACAAGTAAGTCATGTTCAACAGTGGGAACTGTGGGAATACTGCACTTATGGGACTAAGAGACAATGCACACTAGTATGAGAGATTCTTTTAATCAAGTCACATACACACTAACTATCAGTAGGAATGCATTAGTGTGTACATGGCTGTTTGTTTATCAGCTTTCAAAGGCAGCCAGCTCAGGAAGTCCCTCATCAGGGGTTTAATTGGAGAAATGCAGTGACACTTCCATGGACCTGCTTGCAGTAGTTTGCTGCTGTTTATGGAGCACCCCTGTGTGTGTGTGTGTGTGTGTGTGAAGGGTGGGGGTGCATTTCCGAAGAGTTGCTGAGTGAGCAAGTGAGCGATTAAGAAAGAGACAGGCAGTCTGAGAGTTTTTCTCTATGACAGCACTTTTTAAACAACATCTGCTGCATCCAGATGAACGTGTACAGGTACAGCACTACACATTATGAGGTGGGGAACAAGTGTCAAATATTTAGTACATTAATGACACTGTTACTGTAAATGTTTGTGTACAATATGCATGTACTTAAATCTGCTGATAATAACTATCATTACCAGTGTATTTGCAAACATTCAATCCATTGTTAAATACAGGATTTACAGAATATATTTAAGTTTTGATTAAAGGAACCGATATATGTTACAATTTATGATCCCCTCCCCCCCTTTTTT